TGTGACGAAAACCGGAGAACTTCGCCATCAGGACGGACCTGACGGTGAGACCGGGTCCGGTCCGCCTCCAGAACCACAAGTTACACTTTAACAACGTCAGAAAACATCGAACCAATAAAGTCCAGATCTTCATTTAAAAACATGGAAAACAGAAAAACTGTCCAGAAATCTGAGATTCAGCTCAAAATTCAACCATAAAGCACAAAATGAAAAGTCAGGTTATTAATAATAACAAGAATCTTATTAATAATAATAAGAATCTTATTAATAATAATAAGTCAACATGTTTATGTTTAACCACAGAATAAAAACACAAAACATTTAAATCATTTTAAAACTGAAGGTTTTTCAGAATAAACTCAGATTATTAATGAATTTACATGAAATCATTTTGTTCAGTGAAACAGTTTTAATGTCTTAATGATCTAAAATCTGATCTGTAATAATTTTTATTCTTCTGCTGTTTTTGTTCAAATTTTGTGACAAAAGTTTTTTCACCATCCTGAAAAAGTTTCAGGATGTTTTTGTTTCCTCAATAAAATCATTAATTTTCATATTTTATCATCATTGATAAAATATGAAAATATGTTTCTGTCATTTGATGCTGAAACGACAGAAACAGAAAAACAAAATAAAAGATTTAAAACTCAACAAATCTGAGCTTCAAACTAAAAACCTGCAGATGATTTAAAATGATTCAATATCAGAAAGTTTCTGATCATTTAGATATAAATTAAAAAACATGAACAAAATCAAATCTGTTCTTGCTGACAGTGAAAAATGACTTTAAGTTTCCAGGAATTATATTTATTTCTGAGGCTTCAGGCAGAAAAATACAAAAATATAAAAAGTTTCCATCCAGCCAAAGATTTTATTTTAGTTCAAACTTATGAAGATGGAAATGAAAACATGAAGGTTGAATATAAACATACGGTTTGCTTATGAAACTAAAACAATAATAATAATCATCATGTCGTCGTCAATAAACTGATTTATGCCTCATAAAGTTTGTTACAGCTGATCGTTGTTTCCTGACTGCTGGGGGAACAAGAACCTCAACAAACTTTCTCAGTTTAAATATGAACATCTTTTAATTTATTAACCTCATTATCTGTTAAAACACAAAATAAATGATTTTAACTCTGTAAAAACTAAAATCAGGTAATTGTTACGTTGTCGCTCCGTCATACAATCAGTTTTGTTTGCTGTTTATTTTTAAGCATAAATCTAGAAATATTGAAAAATCCCAGCAGATTATTAATCTCAGATTAAATCATGAAACTTTTATTCAGTTCTAACATTAAAATTTTACAGTCAGATTTTTTTCTGCTTTTTGTCAAAAATTCAGGATTTAAAATAATTTCATAAATCCTGAATAAATAAATCACTAAAATGTTCATCATATTTTACACAAAATATAATTCAATTTTTACATTTTAAAGATTTTTGTTTCCACATTTAATTAGAAATAAACTTAAAACTCAAATTGAAAACTCAAGTGTGAAACTCTGGACATTCAGAATTATGGATGTGGAGAATTAATATAATTATTATAGTAATATTAGAAATTATAATAACAATAATAATGATAATTATTATAATTGTCAGAATTCAAATAGATTTGAAATGTTCTGCCTAATCTTATGTATGATAATAATTATAACAACAATATAATATTATATATTTATTATAATTATTATTGCGAATATTATACAAATTATTATTATTTACATATGTTTATTAACTAATAATAAATCCTTCATTTTATATAAAACATTTTGAAAGTTGGTGTAAAAATAATATTTTTCTATTTTCATATTTTCTGTTTCAGGTTTTAAAGTCGGCAGGTTTAGAAATTTGTTTTAGGAAAATAAAGTTCAGATATTTTTATTTTTAGGAATTTATCAATGTTTTAGAAAATCAAAAAAATTAAATTGAAATAAATTCAAAGGTTTTAAGGAAAACATTGTTGAATTTAAAATGTCAAAATAAAAGTTTTTATTATGTTTTTATCTTTTTGACTCAAAATTATGTTCAGAAAATGTATTTAGATAAAAATGAACCAGGTTAAAATATTTAAAAAATAATGTTTACAATTTACTGAAGTTAATCTTTAATTTGAATATAATCTCCCAGCAGCGTTTCTGGCTGCATGCATCAGGTGCCTGTGACCTCTGACCTTTCAGGTGGTGGCCATCGACGTGGACATGGCGTTCTTCGAGCCCAAGATGAGGGACATCCTGGAGCAGAACTGCAGCAGCGACGACGACTGTAACTTCTTCGACTGCTGGTCCAGGTGTGAGCCGCAGCGGCGGCGCTGCAGCGCGCGGCGCAGGAACTCCAACCTGCAGGTCAGAGTTCACCTGAGATTCATCACATCATGACCAATCTCTTTATGGAACTTCAAATCAGAATCATTTCAGTTTCAGTGATTCATTTTAATTCATACTTATTTATTTATATTTAACCCAGGCTGGGAAATTTATTCTTTAAAAAATATGTTTTACTGACGTATATTAGAGTCAAATATTTATTTTCTTCTGCTTTTGTTAATTATGGAAGGATAATTTGACTTGATATTGAAATAAATGTTATAATTATGCATTTCATAGCTGAAAATAGATGAATTATATTAACTAATAATAATAATAATATATGTTTAAAGCGCAGTAGATCGGCCGCCGAGGCCTTTTGCTCTGAAAGGCCTCAGATCTTCATCACATCATCATCATCATGGCAGCAGGAGGTCAGACTGTCAGGCTGCTGATCGAGTGTCTCTGATATCAGATATCAGCTTCATCATCCAGGCGACGACGGAACGAAACGACGGAGACAAAAGATGAAACAGGAGAAAAACCAGAAAATCATTTACAGATTCAAACTATAAACTGATTGAAACAAAACTTGAATAGATTCTAAACAGCTTCTTTATTTCATAAGAAATCAAAATTTAAAGTTAATTAATCAACATTTGATTTTAATATCTGAACCAAAATAGTTTAAAACGAAAAACAAAGAGAGAGAGGAAAACGAAGCTGAGTGAAGAGCTGCTCTCCTATTGGCCGACGCTCCGCAGGTGTCTGCTCAGGTTGACCTGATGACCTGATGACCTGATGACCTGATGACCTGATGACCTGATGACCTGATGACCTGATGACCTCCCTCTGCCAGGCGTCTCTGTTCAGAAAGACGGTTTTGTTTTTCTCAAATCGCCTTCAGATGATTCAACATCTGATCGATTTTTCTTTTCTTTCATGTTTTGTTATTTTCCGTTTCTTATCGTTTGTTTTGCACCAACCGGATCAAATTCCCTCCATTTGTCCCGTTTTCTTTCCCAGGTGATCTGTGAGAAAATATTCCGGCCCTGGTTTTCTCCAACGCTCCTCGGAGCGAAGGCAGGACTCCCGCTTCAGGTTGGGCTGGAAAACATTGATCCATTTCTGATTAGCACATTTATCTTTATCCACTGAAACATGACAGAAAATATTTAATGCACTTTTTCTCTAATTAAACCTTTATTAATATTCCCACTAAATGAATTAACTCATATCACTGAATGTGCAAAGTTCTCAAATGTGAATAGTTGACAGTTTGAAATGAATCTGTAATATTTAAATATTGATGTTTGTTAATATTAATCCACCAAACAGTTTTACCTCAGAGACTGGAGTTTAAATGAAGAGACAAATAATTATTATTTATTTCTGCCATGATAAACCACCTTGAACTCCACATGGAGGTCAAATGTGCAATAAAAGGTCAAATGTGCAATAAAAGCTTATTTCATCTCCTTCCAGCCGTTTATAAAACATTTTGGTCCAAAATAAAATATTTAGTTTTCATTGGTTTGTTGTAAAGTGGATCTGAAATGTTCTTCTTGTTCTCGTGAGTTTTTGGGTTTGCAGGTTATTAAAACATATCAGCGCCACCTACAGGTCGCTGCTGCTTCCTCTGTCTCCAGTGACCATCATCAGATCCTTTCCATGATTCTTCTGATCCGTTTCGTTCAACAGGTGGAGCTGCAGCGAGCCGTGCAGGACTGCTCAGAGACCGACGGCGGCGCCGAGGACGAGGGCGGAGCCCGCCGGGTCCATCGGCGCCTCCTCGCGTCCTCAGGGCCCTGATGCAGGAGGAAGTGGCTCCTGAGGACAGGAAGTGGACAAACGACGACACGGAGCGCGTCCACCCGGAGCGCGTCCACACGGAGGGCGTCCACCCGGAGCGCGTCCACCCAGAGCGCGTCCACCCGGAGCGCGTCCACCCGGAGCGCGTCCACCCGGAGGGCGTCCACCCGGAGCGCGTCCACCCAGAGCGCGTCCACCCAGAGCGAGTCCACCCGGAGCGCGTCCACATGGAGCGCGTCCACCCGGAGCGCGTCCACCCGGAGCGCGTCCACCCGGAGCGCGTCCACCCAGAGCGAGTCCACCCGGAGCGCGTCCACCCGGAGCGCGTCCACCCGGAGCGCGTCCACCCGCAGCGCGTCCACACGGCGCTGAACTTCTGAGAGCAAAATGTCCTCATGAGGATCGAGCAACTCAGAACCCGGTCAGGACTCCAGAACCTCATGATGACTCCAGAACCTCATGATGACTCCAGAACCTCATGATGACTCCAGAACCTCATGATGACTCCAGAACCTCATGATGACTCCAGAACCTCATGATGACTCCAGAACCGGGCCGCTGTGACGCAGAACGTCTGGAAATAATTTCTCGTCTGAGTCAAACTTTTGAACTTTATGAACTTTTGGAGATTTTTCACCAACATGAAAGCTTTTAGTTTAACCTGCAGAGAAAATCCAGATATTTTACAAACAGATGTTGGTGATTTGGAAACAAACCAGAACGGATCCCTGCGGATCAGAACCGGATGGTTCTGAGTTTCTTCGTGGTCCTGCAGACTCTTAATAGTCAGTTTGTAAAACTGATTGTGATTTTGATGAATCTGGGAACCAAAAACCTGCAGGATTGTTTCTTCTTCAAGCAGAATTTGGTAACGAGGATCCATTAGGATCTGCTGGGATCCGCTGGGATCTGTTGGGATCCGTTAGGCTCCGCCCCTCCTCTTCCTCAGCCAGCCGGTAACCATGGCAACGGGAGGACAGGCAGTTAGCCTCGTTAGCATGGTGACTCGTTAGCATGGTGACTCGTTAGCATGGTGACTCGTTAGCATGGCGACTCGTTAGCATGGTGACTCGTTAGCATGGTGACTCGTTAGCATGGTGACTCGTTAGCATGGTGACTCGTTAGCATGGTGACTCGTTAGCATGGTGACTCGTTAGCATGGTGACTCGTTAGCATGGTGACTCGTTAGCATGGTGACTCGTTAGCATGGTGACTCGTTAGCAGGTTCTGCTCGTTCGTCTCAGTGAGATTTATTCTATTTTTCTCATTCAAGGAGAAAATAAACATTTTTAGCTTCTGAAAAACGGATTATTAAATAAAATGTTTCTTTGCTTCATAAAATATTTTGTTGCTTAATTAATAATTTTAATGTTGAACATTTTTCTGTCGTCCATAAAATAGGAAAGAGAAAAATCCAACTAAATTTCACCAGAAACAAATTAATTTCTACATGAATTTGATGATATTTGTGTTTATTTGAAGGATGTTTGGCTGTAAATTTACAACAGGTTAATAAAATAAATTAAAGTTTGTTTTAAAATAAAATCAGTTTGAAGTTGGATGAGTTTCATGTTAAAATTTAATTTTATTTTAACGTTTATTTTCATCTCCATCTGAAAATGATTTGATGGTTTTTTGTTTTTCTCTCTGGGTCACAAAGTTCAACTTCAATTTATTAAAACCAGTTTTCCTCTGATACTTTAAGAATAATTAATACAATAAACTAAAACATGTTGCTCTGAATAAACTGATGAAAATCTGTTGAATTTGTTTGTTTCTCAGGATGAACTGGAATAAAACTGGGAGATTTAAACCGACTGCAGCTCATATTAATATTCATATCAATATCAATATTCATATTAATATTAATATCAATATTAATATTAATATTCCTGAGTTCTGACCTGATGATGAGGAGGGAGATGAAGATCCTCCAGAAACGTTCCCCCAAAATAAAACATCAGAAGGAACCTGGAGGCTCAGCTGACAAATATTGATAACATCATAAATCTGATTTTGATCAGGCCAGAAATTGATTGTAAATAATTAGATTTAAAGGTGAATCAGTAACTTATTGATTCTGTGACATAATGCTGGTCAGAACTGGACCAGAACTCACATCATCTGTCTATGTGGTGCTGGTTGGTTAGGTCTCCAATATTTCTCTGCATTTTATCAATCAGGACACAAACAGCCACCATCAGGTTTCTGGTGGAGATCGGTTCCAGGAACGGGTCGGAACAGAACCGACTGGACCAGAAACCCGACATCAGAGGAGCGGATCCGGTCCCTGCGGCGCCGAGCGACGACTCGCTGACGGATCCCAGCAGCTCCATTAAAAACAAGCATCAGAACCGAGACACAACCGATATGGGTCAGAACCAGCAGGACCAGAACCAGAGGAACCAGAACCAGAGGGAACCAGAACCAGTAGGACCAGCAGGACCAGAACCAGAGGAACCAGAACCAGCTCGCTGGTTCTGGACCCTCTGGTTCTGGTTCCTCTGGTTCTGATGCTGCTGGTTCTGGTTCCTCTGGTTCTGGTCCTGCTGGTTCTGGTTCCTCTGGTTCTGGTGCTGCTGGTTCTGGACCCTCTGGTTCTGGGGTTCTGTGGAGCAGCAGGTGCAGTAAGTATAGAACCAAGAAAACAGAAACTCCTGAGAAAGAACCGGGTTCGGTCCCTCAGTCGGTTCTGTTGACCCGTTTGACTTTAGAAAAACCAAGAAACCAAAGAACAACAAACGAGTGTTGCCATGGCAACTTCAGGTGTGGATTCACCTGGAAACGTCCAGAACCTGGATCTGATGCAGGTCCAACATTCAGAGCAGGAGACAAAGAACCGGGTCGGTTCTGGTTCTGTTCTCAGCAGAATAACTCCAGAGTTTCTTTCTCTTCTGTTTGTTTTTCATTTTCTGATTTGGAAATAAAAACTTATTAATATTTATGGAGCCTCATTTGCATAAAGCTGGAGGGCATAAATAGATCCGGGCCGGTTCTGAAGAACCGGGCCGGGCCATTCTGACGCCGTTCAGCCGTTTGATGCTTTTATTCTGGCGGTCCGTCTGTTGGGTTCGGAGTGTGCTTTCACCCTCTGCTGGTTCTGATCTGGGCTTCAGGAACCGGATCTCAGCTCGTCAGGTTGGTTCTGCTCGGTCCGGATTACAAACCCGACCAGAATCAGTAAACAGTTTTTATTTGTTCAGCGTCTCGGTAAAAATAATTTCTTCTTGTTTCTTTCACTCCAAGATGCTTGGAGTGCAGAACCGTCAGAGAGGAGAACGTCCTGTAGGGGGCGCCATGAGGGGATAGAGAGCGTCCTGTAGGGGGCGTCCTGAGGGGACAGAGAGCGTCCTGTAGGGGGACAGAGAGCGTCCCGTAGGGGGCGCCATTAGGGGACAGAGAGCGACCTGTAGGGGGCGCCATTAGGGGACAGCGAGCGCCCCCTACAGGACGCTCTCTGTCCCCCTACAGGACGCTCTCTGTCCCCCTACAGGACGCTCTCTGTCCCCCTACAGGACGCTCTCTGTCCCCCTACAGGACGCTCTCTGTCCCCTCACGGCAGGATGGAGGCGCTAACGAAGCGGCAGCATCAGGCTGATGCTGCTTTCATTTTCCATCTCGACTCTTGATGCTCTTGATCTGATCCAACCAGAACATTTCCGTCAGGTTGAAGCCTGGACTTTGACTAGGCCACTGCAGGACCTGATTCCATCTTCAGTCATCTTGTTGTAGAACTGCTGTTAGGTCCTGGTTCTGATCCAGTTTGGACCCGTTTCAGCAGTGGGTCGTTCTGGTCCCAGTAGACAGTGGAAACATTCCTGCAGCATTTTCCTCTCTGGGCCCAAACAGAAGCATCTGGTTCCAATTTGCTGTGGTTTTCCCAGTAGCCCCGCCCCCTTCTCACTGGTCATAAACCAGTTTAACTGGAGCAGGCTGTGCTGCCCACTAACCACAGCGTGTCGGTCCGACTCCTCCTCTCTGCTGCTCTGCTTTCATTAACGATAAGCTGATAGCAGAGCCGCTAATTTCACAGCCAGCTGGTTCTGAGTTATGAACCCGCCGGGTCAGAACCGTCCTGCAGACCCAGACGGGTCAGAACCGTCCTGCAGACCCAGACGGACCAGAACCGTCCTGCTGCCCCAGACGGACCAGAACCGTCCTGCAGACCCAGACGGACCAGAACCGTCCTGCAGCTTCCACAGAACTTTTACTAGAAACAGAGTTTATCTTCCTGCTCAGAAAGAAAATCTTATTTTCTGGTTCTGGAAATGAATCAGATCTGAATCAAGATTCATTTGTTCTCCACAAAATCAAATCCTTCAAATAAAATAAAACTACAAACAGAAACATCCAGGAGTTCAGTTCTGGTTCTGACCCGGAAACACCTGGTTCTGTAATCCGTTAAGTTTATGAAATAACTCCATAAAACATCCTGAGCTTCACAAAGAACGGATCAGAAAGAGCTTCAGGTTAAAACCTTCTGACTAAATCTGAGTGAATTACATATTAAATAGTTTAATGTGTTTAACTCCATAATAAACTACATATTAATCATATTAATGATATGATATTAATATCATATTAATATGTAGTTTATTGGACCCAGGTTTGGAACAGATTTCTTTAGAATCAGCTTTTTCTTCATTTCTCCTGTTTTTATGCAATAAATTGTACATTTTAAGATCAATTTTATGTATAATTTTTAAATGAAATATTCAGTTTTGTTACTTTGTTGCTCTTTATGTGCTTTTGATTTATTTAAGATTTCCTCTGAAAATGTATATTTTAATTTATTATTTTAACTTTCATTTGGCTTTAAAGGGATCAAATATTTGGAACAGGGAGTCGACATCCAGTCCTGCAACCTTTAGATGAGCCTCTGCTGAACCACCTGAATACAATAACAGGTGATTAAGGTTCTGGAGAACCAGGAGGAGGTAATGAAGCCACTGAGTTTTAGAATCTAAAACAGAAACAGAATGTTGATAATATTCCACTGAACTGACAAAAGGCGTTCATCAATACTAACTTGTAAGCAGAGGTCAGAGGTCGCCTGGTTTTCTTCCCTCCAGCAGAATCAGACCAACATGATCCTTCAGGCTCTTTGTTACAGAAACGTCTGAAGCAGCAGAACCAAGTGGATCCGGGCCGGTTCTGGTCTGAGGACAAACACGGATCCTGGACCCACCGGATCCTGGAGCCCGGCTGGGATTCCTCCAGGTTTTCCTCCAATCAGACAGGATTCAGCAAATCATCAGGAATCCATGGCTGATCAATTAAACTCAAGTTTTTCTGATTTCTACAACAGATCACTAATGTTCTCTGGTTCTGCTCCTTCATTTCCCGTCCAGAACCGGATCGTTTCCTGGTCCGGATTTGGATTCTGAATGGACTGAATCAGTCAGAACAAAGAGACTTTGTTAATTTCCTGCTAATGTCCAAAAACTAATTTTCATAATCGCAAAAAAGAAATGAGATTAAAACTTATAGAGATTAAAATTTATAGAGATTAAAACTTATAGAGATTAAAACTTAATGAGATTAAAACTTATTGAGATTAAAACTTATTGAGATTAAAATGCTCAATAAGTTTGTTCACGGTTAAATCATGCTGCACCATCAACCTGATGCCACTTCCTGTCATCTTCTTCATCGTCTCCATCAGTGGTCTCATCGGCTGTTGATAATGAGACTAATGTGATGCAAAAACTTTTCATTTTGGTGAAAAATCCCCTCATCCTGGTGGAGAAACGTTTCGTCTGTCGTTTCTCTCATTCTGTCGTTTTTCACTCCCAGTTTATAAAATCCTCCCAGCCTGAAAGCTGCTGGTTCCACTGGGATTAACAACGAAACGCTTCCAGTCAGAGCAACTGGATATGAACCAGACCGGATCCGGACCCAAACAGGTTCTGACAGGTTCTGTTTTCCAGACGGTTTCTCTCCTGAGCCTCTCAGTTTCCCACAGTGGAGCTAATTTCCTGCAGGACCTGTGACCTGCAGCAGGTCAGAGGTCAAACCAACTGTTGGTGTAAGGTTACAGCCGCCTCGGGTTCTGGACGGGCTCCAACAGGAGCTTCTGTTTCTGCGCCACAAACGCAGCACAAACATCCAGTTCAAACAGGCAGAGAACGCCGCCGCCGCTGAAACTGACAGGAAACGCATCACAACAAACCAAATCCTTCACCGTGACATCACTTCCTGTCCTGGTTTCTCACAGCTTAAAGGGAAGAAAACAAACGAAGCGCCTCGTTACCGCACAAGAAGAAGAACCCGACATTCCTCCTGATTAATGAAAGTCATATTTCAGCTGCAGGCGCTCGCAGGAACACAAAGGAAATATTTCCAGAGCGACTCATGATGAGTTATGGCTGCTGGGAAAATATTCATCATGTCAGATAAAAACGCCTTCGCCGCTTCTGAGCCAGAGGATTTCAGCGAGGAGGAGGAGGAGGAGCAAACGACTTTCCCACAGAGAGACGGATGGTTTACGTCTGCAGGAACGAGATCAGAATTTAAGCCGAAATCCTGAGAAATGTCCATGTTTGTTTAAAAACAGCCAGAAATAAAAGCAACAGAAAGAGGGCTGAGCTGCAAACCTGCAGGTACTGGAAGCTTTTTACTCAGATTTAAATAAAAATCAGGAGAATGAATCGATTTCTCTGCTGAGGAAAACCAGGAAAATAAGGTTTTATTGAACAAACTGAAGTTACAGAGCAGAAACGGTTTAAATACAAACGTTTCTGGATATTTAAACCGAAGATCAAAACTGCTCAGGTTTGTGTGATGAACTAAAATAAAAACTGATATTTATTGCATTTTTTCAGGCAAGTTTCCAGTTAAAGATTTACTGAGTTTATTCAAGAATTATGGAAAAACTTTCAGCTTCAGATGAAAAACATCAGAACTAATAACAGAAAATGTTTACTCTAAATATTGATCAACATTTTAGACAAACTAAACCTCGATTAGTTAAATCACATACTTTTAATTTCTGCAATAAAATATTCTAATCCTAAATGTTTTTATTAAAATTATAATTAGTCAAAATAAAGGCTATAAAACAGCAGCTTATGTGAATTATTCTGTTTCTATGAGATGAAGTTATTAATAGATTTTCTATAATATCTGTTCTGTTAAACAGGATCCAGCAGTGAACTAGAACAATATTATTAATAATATTAATTAATTTAAACAGAAACAATCTGCTGCGTCTCATTTTCTTATGAATATAATTCAATCTTGGCTGTTTTAATGACCCGCAACGTTTGCTTTTTCTGCTGTGTGATTCTGCATGACATTCTTTTCTCCGGTGGTTCCTGTAGTTTGCGGGTCGGATCCGGATCTCTGCAGAACCTCGGCTTCATGCTCTGTGATTTATGAGTTTGGATCGTCTCGGTGAAAACCCGACCGTTTCTCTGGTCGTAAATCTCTCGGTTCGTTTCTGTCCTCAAACAGAAGCGTCTTTGTTCTGGTCTGGACCGGCGCCGATCCGACCCGGTTCCCTCTGTCAGCGTTCTGGGTCGGAACCGACGGGTTCGCTGCATGTCTGAAGAAAATCTTCAGTAGAATCAGTGGGCAGAGAATCTAGACGTTTTAATCAAGGTGATTATTAATGTTTGTAATCAATAGTTTTATTTATTGATTCCTTCCATTCCATCTGTTTGAATGGTTCATCTGCATGAATCCACAGCGGGTCAAAACTTTACATACAGGTCCGTTTCTCCTCTGCAGGAAGTTGATCCTCCATCTGGAGCTTTTTGGATTCATCAGGAAGTTTTTACCGCTTTGAGTTTTTGCTTTTTAGGGTTTTGTCCCTCCCTGGATGCCATACTCACTTCATTCCTCAGTTTGAGATTCTTGGCTCCTGGTTCTGCTCTCTGGTTTCGTCTCACCTGGTTCTCCTGCCCATTTATCACCTCCCAGCCGCTGGAAAGCAGCCAGTTGCTTCCCCTCGCTGTGGATCCCATCATTATCCTCCATGTTTTATTGATTCCTAGCAGATGTTCTCCAGTTCCTGACGTCTAATTCTTTCACTAATTATTCTCACCAATTTCCATTTCCTGTCTACTTTTGGTCCAACAGAACCAAAAGCAGTCCAGAGTTTAGAGTTAAATCTCAGAACCGTCACGTTTTCCATCTGATATTTCAGTTGTCAGATAAAATTAAATTAATAAATATTATTGTACAATCATGAACACAAAACAAGAAACTTCAGTTTAAATATGTAATAAATACAAAACAGAAAAAACTTTCACAAAACAGGATTTTTATAACTTACAGGTTTCATTTTGTAACCAACTTTAGGAAAGTAAAACTCTTTCAAAACGCTGAATATGCGATAAATGTCCCTGAAACTAAAAAAATAGTTTTAAAAATGTAACCAGGAACTTTTAAGCTCAATAAATATTTAAACAAATGCAAAAACATTCTGAACATTTAGCAGAAAATTTAGCTTAAAAAACAGATTTTATAAAAACTTAAAGCTTTTTTGTAGCTGAAAATGATAAAACTTGTTTAGGAACAAATGAATCTCCTGTTAAACCTCAATTTATTTTAATTAAAAACCAATACAAAATAAATAATAATCTACAAAACTACTTTTAAAATAAACCCAAAAATGAATATTAATGTTTGCAATCAAAATAAAACTAAAACAAATAAAGAGAAAAAATAATAATTAAAAAATGCTATACATTTCTTTTTTTAATAACAAATACAGCGAGAATAAATGAATAAAATAACAAAGAAATAATATAAATGTGCTGTCTTAAATGAAACCAACTAAATCTTCCCAGCAGGACAGCAGCTGCTGGGTGATTTTACCGTTTTGTGATTGGCTGTGGCGCCGTCCAATCAGGGCTCAGGCCTCGGCCAGGCAGCCTATCACCTTCATCATCAGCTCCTCCTTCCTCAGCTTGGAGCTCACAGGGATTCCTCTGTTCCTGAGCCACAGCAGCAGGGAGCGGCCGCTGAGCCCGGCCCACTGGGAGGGAGGGAGAGAGGGAGCCGTGAGGTCATGAGGTCATGAGGCAGCGCTGACGTCAGCGCTGACATCACACTACAACCTCATGTTGATATTAACGTTCAGCGAGCCGCCGCCGGATCGTCCATCACTGTCTATCACTTTGGGATTAATAAAGTATTTAAAATTTGTAGCCGCAGCGCAGAGGCCTTCTGTCGCTGTTCATCACTCTAACACAATGCGATACCTCACCCTGAGGTGTTTAGAACATGCAGTTTACTGGAGCTAACTGCGCTAAATGTTTTCCACGTTAGCAGGAAAGCTAAGCGCTAAGCTAAAGTTAGCTCTAATGTTGATTGGGTTTTAGCTTTCATTGGAGTTTTTAAATCAGTTTTTCCTGCAGAACCGGGTTGTCTAGCAAAACTAGGTCGATCTGCAGAACGGGTCGGTCTACAGAATTGGGTCGTCTGCAGAACCGGGTCGTCTGCAGAACCGGGTCGGTCTACAGAATTGGGTCGTCTGCAGAACCGGGTCGTCTGCAGAACCGGGTCGGTCCGTCTCACCTGGTTGCTTCTGGCCATTTTCTCCACGTCTTCCTCTAGAACTTTGGACTTGTTGGGTTTCTCTTGCAGCTCGAAGGCGACCGTCTGGACAGAACAAAACAAACATCTTAAGGTTCTAACAAAATGATGCCATTAAATTCCTTCTAGAACCAGAACCAGAACTTTCTGGACCAACCTTCCTGCTGCTGGCGGCGGTCTCCCTCTGATACCGGGTCGGTTCTGGCTCGGTGCTGCCTTCAGGCCCGGCCTCTCTGCTGGTCTTCATGATGGTTCTGGGGACGACGGTTTTGGGTCCTGCTGCCTTCCAGCAGTTGGCGGCCCGTTCGGGTCGGACCGTCCCAGAGGTTCTGCTGGGTTTGGGTTTGGTTCTGGGTGGGAGGATGACGGCGGCTTTCGCCTTGAACATCGGGCTGAGGCTGGAGATCCGGGTGACCCTGGACTGACCCGACGGCGGGGAAACGGCGGCGCTCCGGCTTTTGGGGCGGCGGGCGAAGCGAGGGACGAGGCGAGGAGGAGGAGGGAGGGGCGCGGCGGAGGAAGAGGAGGAGGAAGGTGTGACCTGTGACCCGGCAGGAAGCGGCAGGGTGAGTCTGCGTTTGTCCTCCGTTCCTCCGTTCCGCCGGTTCTGGACTCGCAGAAGAGCCACGCTGAGCCGGCGGGTCGGGTCGTTGTTCCTGAAGATGGGAACCAGTTTGGGAGGCGGGTTCACTGGGACCGGACTGGGCTGAGGAAGAGGAGGGAGGGATGAAGCCGGCTGGAAGTGTTGGGAGAAAGAGGAAACGGGCAGGGAGCGGTCCGACTGGTCCTGGTTCTGACTGGAGGACGGGTGGGCCGACCGGTCCTCTGGACGGCGCCACAGCCAGTTCCCAGATCTGCTTCCTGGAAGAGCGCCGCCCTGCTGGGACAGGGGGACCCAGGCGGGCGGGTCCGCCCGGCAGGACGGCGCCTGCTGGGACAGAACCGGCCCGGTGGTCAGGTTGATCTGGTCCCAACTCAGAACCTGAGGAAGGAAACGACTCTTCGTGATCACCTGGAGGTTCAGGTCTTTATGGAATCAGCATCACACCTGAAAACAACCAATAGGGTCAAAGCTGGGCGGATTAATGCTCCTCTCATAGAGGAAACTATTAGAAGTGCTTTGGTTCCTCCTGGTGGTCGGAGTGTGAACTACACCTGGGTCACAATGCTGATAAACTCCATAAATAATCTTAACCAGGTTGTTTGGGACCAAAACCCAAAAAGTTACTTCTGATTTTGAAGTTAGAAATGGAAATGAGTAAAACTAGTAATAAAAATAAATATGTAAAATTTAGGTATAATTTTAGAAAACATTATTTCATTCTTTCCATGTACTTTGATTATGGAGATCTGAATCAAATGATTACTAAATAAATACATACTAGGGCTCTGCAATAGGCCCTGGATATACTGTCACTGTTAGCTGTATTTTAAAAACCATGGTGATGAAAATGAAATGGCTGTTCGATAATGTTCTGATTCAATAACAAAAACAGAGAAGCATCAATAATTAACATACTGAGAATGAAAAGTCTGTTTCATTCCCTAAGTGCCTGGTGTGTCTGATTAGCATCACAGCTAAATTACACTGATGGTGGCTGAAATGTTTACATTTATAATCTCTAACATTTCATTGAGAATGTTCTAATGTTTCTAATTATGAATTTATTCTGAGGCTTTCAGACATTTTAATGAAAGGAGACGGAGGTGAAAATGTTGTGACCTTTGACCTTGTTCCACATGGAGTAAATATTTTCTAGATGTTGCTGTTTTCCAGAACATCTGGTTGCTACAAACATCAGAGCTGAGGTTAAACTGAAACATGTGCAGGTCTGTGCAAGTGATTCTGGTCGGTACTGGGTCGCCCAGATACGGAGAAAACATTTAAATGTAACTACGGACAACAGAGACTGAAACTCATTTAACAGAGAAATAGGAAGAGAAAGACAACAATAGTCTGATAAAAATAATAGTACAGCTGATTTTAAGTGCCTTCTTTTAATGAGGACAAAAGAAAAAGTGCAATCATTTCTTCCGCTCAGCTTCACCTTCCAGGCTGAAAACCAGCAGAAATTTCCACCTTTGAAGTGAGAATGAAACGCCTGAGCTCAGATGGAGCTGGGCTGAGCGGCATGAATATTTTAGCCCGACTCTGTGGGAGCTGAACTCGTCTCTACAGAGTTTCTGACGGCCTTCTCCCTCCTCTTACACTCTGGATGAAGGATGGCTTTAATTTCAGCAGCTTGATGCTCAACCTGCAGGAAGATCTGCAGCTGCTTTACGGCGCCTGGCTGCTGCTGAGAAACGCTTTTATTACGGCGCATAAAGAAGAATATTCTGCATTAAAATGAGGATTCAGTCAATTCTTCACCAAACCTCATGAGGAGAAGCTTCTTTCACTCCACTGACGTCAGGAATGTTAATTCAGGAGATGCAGAGAAAGAAGTTTCGCTGCTCTGAGGTTGTTAAACTGTCTGAAGGTTTTATTGGCTGGAAACGCGCAAATAATCACATTTCCTGCAGCTCCACGCTCAGCAGGGAGGATACAGGAAGCTACAGGAATGGCTGGGAAATAAAACCACTTCTATTCTCACGGTTAGGAGACACGACCTCCATCTATTTACATCATAAACATTCAGATTAATAAATTACTGAAATTATTTCTCCCTTTTTGTTTCAACTTCCTGGTTCTTCCACAAGAGGGCAGTACAGTAACAGCTGCTCTAATTTCACAATGCGAATCATTTTCATCCACAACAATTAGAGGATGCAGCAAACAAGCTGCATCATTTATTTATTTATTATGTCATTTGCATAGCATTATTATTTCTGTTTTGCTAGAGAGAATGTTATTAATCATAATTGTTATTGTTTATTTTAGGATAAACTATCAGCTGTAGCTGGTTTTGCAGTTTGAAAGTTGTTTATTTTCTGTTTGTCTTGTTTTCTGAACATGGCATCCTTCCTCTCCTCCTATTGGCCGCTGCTTGAGCAGCTGTGAGCGCGCTCAGTAGGCGCTGACAACCAGGAAGAACCTGAATTAGTTTACTGTTGTTGACAAAAAAAAAACATTTTTTTCCCTGCAGTTGTTCAGAACTGAAGCAACAAAAAACCTTTTTGAACAAATTAAAATGATGAAGAATACAAAGAAAGAAACTTACTGGTAAAACAAACAAAAAGAATATTTAGTTTTATGTTTCTCAAATGTCTGAAACCTGAAGAAAGAAACATGAATTTATCTAAGAATTTAAAAAGTTTGATTTTAAATTTAAATTTTCTTTCAAAACCTTTTATTTTTCTATATTTCCTGGGAAATAACTTTATGTGTGACTGAACCGAGCAGCGCTGCAGTTCCTACCTGCATGGAGGCAGCGGTGGTCAGGCCGGCCGCGGGGTAACTGGGTTTACTGGTCAGACGGGTCGGGAAGCCGCACACGTTCTGCAGCCGCTCTCTGCTGTCGGCCAGGAAGCGGGCCAGCGCCCCCTGCAGGTCGCCCCCGGGGCAGCGCTGCACAGGCTGCAGGCGGATGCAGCTGAGAGGGTAACTGAGCGGCGGGATGGAAGGAACGACGTTTGGTAATAACAACAATAATAATAATGACAGAAATAAAGTGCTTTAATAACCAGTGATATCTAGTTGAGGGTTTCTATGCTCTGCTGCTCTGTGCAGCTTCTAGGCACTGAATCTACGTTGGATACGTGAAGAGTTTCTCTCCCACCGGCCTGAAGTAGACGCTGCAGTAGACTCCGCCCCCCTCCAGCTCCGGCAGCCAGTAGCCGTACTGGGGATCAAAACCAACAACCACTGGGTTGATTCCAGTGGCTGGAATCAACCCAGTGGTTTGTGGAACCAGTCTGGTTCCACAGAAAGGCAGAGCGAGGTTCTGACAGTGCGGGCCGGGTCGGGCGCGGTACCAGGCGGTTCCAGTGGTTCTGAAGGTCTCCGTAGGTCTTGAAGGGTCCGTCTCTGGGCAGCTGGCGGCTGATGCTGATGATCTGACCCTTCTTCATGCTGCACAGAAAAACAGCCATGAACTCACAGAGCAGCGGCTCCACCTGCTGGCCAGAGGATCACATTACAACAGCAGGACGGAAATGAATAGTTTAGAAAACCTGATTAAAAACTTTTAGTCATAAATCAGGATTTCTGTTAATATTCTGATTGATCCTCATAATGAAGTGATTTAGTTCTAATTGATCCTCATAAAACAAAGTGATTAGTTTCTAATTGATCCTCATAATAAAGTGATTAGTTTCTGATTGATCCTCATAATGAAGTGATTAGTTTCTAATTGATCCTCATAAAAGTGATTAGTTTCTGATTGACCCTCATAATAAAGTGATTAGTTTCTGATTGATCCTCATAATAAAGTGATTAGTTTCTGATTGATCCTCATAATGAAGTGATTAGTTTCTGATTGATCCTCATAATAAAGTGATTAGTTTCTAATTGATCCTCATAATAAAGTGATTAGTTTCTGATTGACCCTCATAATAAAGTGATTAGTTTCTAATTCCTCATAATAAAGTGATTAGTTTCTAATTGATTCTCATAATAAAGTGATTAGTTTCTAATTGATCCTCATAATAAAGTGATTAGTTTCTAATTGATCCTCATAATAAAGTGATTAGTTTCTAATTGATCCTCATAATAAAGTAATTAGTTTCTAATTGATCCTCATAATAAAGTGATTAGTTTCTAATTGATCCTCATAATAAAGTGATTAGTTTCTAATTGATCCTCATAATAAAGTGATTAGTTTCTGATTGACCCTCATAATAAAGTGATTAGTTTCTAATTGATCCTCATAATAAAGTGATTAGTTTCTAATTGATCCTCATAATAAAGTGATTAGTTTCTAATTGATCCTCATAACAAAGTGATTAGTTTCTAATTGATCCTCATAACAAAGTGATTAGTTTCTGATTGATCCTCATAACAAAGTGATTAGTTTCTAATTGATCCTCATAACAAAGTGATTAGTTTCTGATTGACCCTCATAATAAAGTGATTAGTTTCTAATTGATCCTCATAACAAAGTGATTAGTTTCTGATTGACCCTCATAACAAAGTGATTAGTTTCTAATTGATCCTCATAATAAAGTGATTAGTTTCTGATTGACCCTCATAACAAAGTGATTAGTTTCTGATTGACCCTCATAACAAAGTGATTAGTTTCTGATTGACCCTCATAACAAAGTGATTAGTTTCTGATTGACCCTCATAAAGTGATTAGTTTCTAATTGATCCTCATAACAAAGTGATTAGTTTCTGATTGATCCTCATAACAAAGTGATTAGTTTCTAATTGATCCTCATAACAAAGTGATTAGTTTCTGATTGACCCTCATAATAAAGTGATTAGTTTCTAATTGATCCTCATAATAAAGTGATTAGTTTCTGATTGATCCTCATAATAAAGTGATTAGTTTCTGATTGATCCTCATAATAAAGTGATTAGTTTCTAATTGATCCTCATAACAAAGTGATTAGTTTCTGATTGACCCTCATAATAAAGTGATTAGTTTCTGATTGATCCTCATAATAAAGTGATTAGTTTCTAATTGATCTCATAACAAAGTGATTAGTTTTCTGATTGACCTCATAATAAAGTGATTAGTTTCTAATTGACCCTCATAACAAAGTGATTAGTTTCTAATTGATCCTCATAACAAAGTGATTAGTTTCTAATTGATCCTCATAATAAAGTGATTAGTTTCTGATTGATCCTCATAACAAAGTGATTAGTTTCTGATTGATCCTCATAACAAAGTGATTAGTTTTTGTCCTGGCTCTGACGCTCTGTCAGGTCCAGGACTGTCCACCGGGTGGCGCCGACCCACCTGGGGAGGACGTGGCACCAGATGGGTCCCCTATGGAGGACAGGTCCAGGATGAAGTCCGGGTCGCTGCAGAACCTCTGGAGTACCGGCGCCAGCAGCCCGAGGTCATCCAGCTGAGACAGAGAACAGACATGTTCTGGTTCTGGTTCCGGTCGGCCCGCTGCGCCCCTCTGGGCCTCCTACCGTTGGCGGCGGCGTTCTCACAGCGCTGGCTTCAATGCTGAGGCTCAGCCGACCACCACTGGTGTTCATCTCCAGACCTGAACCAGAACCAGAACCGTTAGCTTTACCGGGCCGGCAGAACCCGATGCTGCAGAGGAGCAGGAAGCAGAACGTACTGACGGCGCTGAGCGTCCCCCGCCGGGTCAGGAAGTCTGCCCCTGCAAACAGGACCAGGTCAACCCGATTCAATCAAACTTTAATAGTTTTGATTATTGATCCATAATTTTTCTGAACAGCATCCAGTCTGGATCTGGTACCGGAACCAGCATGACCCAATATGCTCTCTCTTGTCATGAAGACGCTTGAACAGCAGCACAGCTAGCTTTAGCATAACAAACCGCTGACCTTTGACCCCTGAACAAACCAGACAAAGATGGAGATGGTAACTATAGCAACAAGCATGGAGGTGGCAGAATCATCCTGTGGGACAATAAATATATTATTTATTTTATTTATTGTTTTTAAACATTATTTCTAGTTTATTCCATATTAATTATATTTACTTTATTCTATTTGCTTTAATAGATCTAATTGATCTGCAGGTTGTTTATTTATCTATTTAATGTTTAAAAAATCTGTTGATGTTTTATCATCGTCATCATTTTATAATAAACTTCAAATTAATTTAATTAGTTATTTATACATTTTTAGATTCTGATTTTATTTTATTACTTTTTTTATTTTGATATGTATTACAGTAACAATACATTTATTTTTATTTAAAAAGATATATTTATTTTTTACATAAATATATTTTGACAGAAAACTATCTTGTCAAGAAATAAACTTGATATGAATAAATATTCTTGTGGCGTTTTTTCAGGGCTGAAGCTGATTGGTTGAACCCTGAGGGGGCGTGGCCTGCTCTGCCTACCTGAGATCAGGTAAAGTCCTGCTTTGTTCCAGCGGGGAGTCAAACGGCTGATCAGAGAGTAAGAGAGGCAGCACTGCAGGTCGCCAGGAAACACCGTGTGGGGAACGCCCAGCTGCACACACACACACAGATAAACACACACTGATAAACACACACTGATAAACACACACACAGATAAACACACACTGATAAACACACACAGATAAACACACACAGATAAACACACACACTGATAAACACACTGATAAACACACACACTGATAAACACACACACAGATAAACACACACACTGATAAACACACACACTGATAAACACACACACTGATAAACACACAGATAAACACACACACTGATAAACACACACAGATAAACACACACACTGATAAACACACACTGATAAACACACAGATAAACACACACTGATAAACACACACACTGATAAACACACACACAGATAAACACACACTGATAAACACACACAGATAAACACACACACTGATAAACACACACTATAAACACACACAATAAACACACACTGATAAACACACACACACTGATAAACACACACTGATAAACACACACTGATAAACACACACACAGATAAACACACAGATAACACACACTGATAAAACACTGATAAACACACACTGATAAACACACACTGATAAACACACACTGATAAACACACACAGATAAACACACACTGATAAACACACACTAATAAACACACACAGATAAACACACTGATAAACACACACTGATAAACACACACTGATAACACACACTGATAAACACACACTGATAAACACACACTGATAAACACACACACTGATAAACACACACAGATAAACACACACTGATAAACACACACTGATAAACACACACACAGATAAACACACACTAATAACACACACTGATAAACACACACAGATAAACACACACTGATAAACACACACTGATAAACACACACACTGATAAACACACTGATAAACACACACACTGATAAACACACACTGATAAACACACACTGATAAACACACACTGATAAACACACACTAATAAACACACACTGATAAACACACACAGATAAACACACACTGATAAACACACACTGATAAACACACACACAGATAAACACACACTGATAAACACACACTGATAAACACACACTGATAAACACACTGATAAACACACACTAATAAACACACACTGATAAACACACACAGATAAACACACACTGATAACACACACTGATAAACACACACACTGATAAACACACACACTGATAAACACACTGATAAACACACACTGATAAACACACAGATAAACACACACACTGATAAACACACACTGATAAACACACACACAGATAAACACACACTGATAAACACACACTGATAAACACACACTGATAAACACACTGATAAACACACACTGATAAACACACACTGATAAACACACACACAGATAAACACACACTAATAAACACACACTGATAAACACACACTGATAAACACACACACAGATAAACACACACACTGATAAACACACACTGATAAACACACACTAATAAACACACTGATAAACACACACACTGATAAACACACACACTGATAAACACACACTGATAAACACACACACAGATAAACACACACTGATAAACACACACTGATAAACACACACACTGATAAACACACACACAGATAAACACACACTGATAAACACACACTGATAAACACACACTGATAAACACACACTGATAAACACACACACAGATAAACACACACACTGATAAACACACTGATAAACACACACACTGATAAACACACACTGATACACACACTAATACACACACTGATAAACACACACAGATAAACACACACTGATAAACACACACACTGATAAACACACACTGATAAACACACACTGATAAACACACACTGATAAACACACACTGATACACACACTGATAAACACACACTGATAAACACACACTGATACACACACTGATAAACACACACTGATACACACACTGATAAACACACACTGATAAACACACACTGATAAACACACACTGATACACACACTGATAAACACACACTGATAAACACACACTGATAAACACACACACAGATAAACACACACTGATAAACACACACTGATAAACACACACACTGATAAACACACATTAAAACGCACACACAGTCAGGTGACCCCTGCTGGCTGCAGACAGTAACTACAGCAGTCTGATCTCACCTGCAGACGGTTTCTGATGGCGAAGGCCTGAAGGACGCCGCGCTGCAGGAAGTGGACCTGACATGGAGGAACGGGTCAACAACCAACACAGCAACATGCTGTGTTGCAACATGCAGCAGCAACATACAACATGCAACATGCAGCAGCAACATACAACATGCAACATGCAGCAGCAACATACAACATGCAACATGCAGCAGCAACATGCAACAGCAACATGCAGCAGCAACATACAACATGCAACATGCAGCAGCAACATACAACATGCAACATGCAGCAGCAACATGCAACAGCAACATGCAACAGCAACATGCAGCAGCAACATACAACATGCAACATGCAACAGCAACATGCAACAGCAACATGCAGCAGCAACATACAACATGCAACATGCAGCAGCAACATGCAACGCAACATGCAGCAGCAACATGAAGCAGCAACATACAACATGCAGCAGCAACATGCAACAGCAACATGCAGCAGCAACATACAACATGCAACATGCAGCAGCAACATACAACATGCAACATGCAGCAGCAACATGCAACAGCAACATGCAGCAGCAACATACAACATGCAACATGCAGCAGCAACATACAACATGCAACATGCAGCAGCAACATGCAACAGCAACATGCAACAGCAACATGCAGCAGCAACATACAACATGCAACATGCAACAGCAACATGCAACAGCAACATGCAGCAGCAACATACAACATGCAACATGCAGCAGCAACATGCAACAGCAACATGCAGCAGCAACATGAAGCAGCAACATACAACATGCAGCAGCAACATGCAACAGCAACATGCAGCAGCAACATACAACATGCAACATGCAGCAGCAACATACAACATGCAACATGCAGCAGCAAACATACAACATGCAACATGCAGCAGCAACATGCAACAGCAACATGCAGCAGCAACATGAAGCAGCAACATACAACATGCAACATGCAGCAGCAACATACAACATGCAACATGCAGCAGCAACATACAACATGCAACATGCAGCAGCAACATACAACAGCAACATGCAGCAGCAACATGAAGCAGCAACATACAACATGCAACATGCAGCAGCAACATACAACATGCAACATGCAGCAGCAACATACAACATGCAACATGCAGCAGCAACATACAGCAACATGCAGCAGCAACATGCAGCAGCAACATGAAGCAGCAACATGCAGCAGCAACATGCAGCAGCAACATACAACATGCAACATGCAGCAGCAACATGCAACAGCAACATGAAGCAGCAACATGAATCATCAGAAGTTGGACATTGAGGTTAAAAAGCTTCGCTCTGAGCCAACAGCAGTGACCTTCAGCAGGGTCGTTCTGAAGGCTGCTGCTCTTCACTCCGTCCTGGTTTCTTGCTGAACTTTCACTGACTGTCTGATGAGAACAGAACCGACTGGACTGAACGGGTCAGACTGCTGCAGGCAGTCTGGCCAGTTAGTTTGGGTTTCCCTTCATCAGCAGCTGGTTTTACTTTCTAGAAACAACATTAACTAAAGTCTTTGAAATGTGAACTTTCTCTAATCATTTTAATGATTAGGGATGATTACTAGAATCGTTTTCTGTTTTCAGTCACAGAGGCAAGCTGCAGCTGCTGCAGTGGCGCATGCTGCAACTGCTGCAGCGGCGCATGCAGGTAGCGTGTGAGCAGACGGGGTGGCGTGCAAAGTTTCCATGACAATCATTCATGTTTCCTGTCAGCCTCACAATGTCTCAATCTCCAGATCTGTGGAACAAGAAGCTTCCTGCTGCAGCAGAACTCGGCCTGAAGTTTACATCTTCATTCATCGCATTTACTTATTTACATGATAATTATCCTTGGTCTGGTACCTACATGTTATTTAATATATATAATCATTATTTACTAGTATTAGTAGTAGTATTTTATTGGATTTCTAGAATTATTATTAGCTGTAGTTTTTATTATGGGAGTTATTTAGTTATTACCATTATTTTATGTTTTTTTATTATGTTTTACAGTTTTTATGCTGTTCAACCTTAATATTCAGCTCGAATGATTTATATTTAGACCAAATTATGTCTGATCTGAATGAAAAGGTTACCAAATTTCCATCCATTTTCTAACATGATGTTTAACAATATAATGCTGCTTATTGATGCCAACAAACGGTGCGGTGAGTCTCACAGACATGACTGCAGTGACGTCAGTGATGGAGTCCAGAGCAGGACAGGCCAGGACGTCCGAGTGCAGCAGCACCAGCTCCCTGTGGAGACAACATGGCGGACAACATGGCGGACATCTTCAGCCTCTCTCAGCTGGAAGCAGGCGATGTTTCCGGTGTTTACCTGCAGGTCCTGATCTGGTTGGTCCTGGGCTCCTGCTGCTCTTCCTCCTGCGGACTCAGCGTGACGCAAACCAACTGCGTCATATCCGGAAGTCCGAGAAGAACAAAGACTTGGGCCCGACGCCGCTCATCCTGCTGACGCGACGCTTTTTACATAAACTCTGCTTTTAAATCAAATTCAAACTTATAACATAGATGGATTACAACTTCTGTATTGTAAAACCAAAAGTTTGTGTCAAAATTAAAACTATTTCGTGGCACATACAGAATAAAAGATGCTACAAAGACATCAGCAAAAACAACCATGGTGGGAATATGATAAAAATAAAACATTATGACACATTTATAACTAAACACACAGCAACAAAAACATCTGTTAAAGAGTTAAAAGTCTGAAACTTTTCCTCACCTCTTGACCCCTGACCTGGTTAAATCAAGCTAACTCAGCTGGACTCAGTTTAGCCTCGGTTTTTCTGTCTAAAATAGTAAATTCACATCTAATCTTTAAGGTTTTCACATCTGTCTTCTATAAAAACTATTAAATTCAAAGCACTAGTCCAAAATATATGAAAATTATTCCAATTTGGTTAAAAATCTCAAACACCTTCGCTCCAAAGATGGGGAACACAAAGGACGAGTCTGCACTCCTCTTTTCATCCATTGTGACTTTTTCTGTTTTTAGTTCAGGTTATTTTATATAAATTCGCTCAAATATATTAAAAAGATGATGCTGTACTCCTCTATAACCTTTACTTACACTCATGTGGCTGTTGTCAGTATTTTGGGTAAGTCTGGTTGATTGTCTCTTCTACCACAGTGTAGACAATCTTTGTAATATAGACCAGCTTTGAGTTTGTGGGGCGCGTGTTTCCCGCCGGAGACTTCCAGAAGTTAAATCAAAGCTGGTCTATTGGACAGGAAGCTCTGCTGTTAACAGTTTAGAAGCTGCTAATGTCCAGAGGAAATCCACATTAAAGCAGCTCTGGCAGCACCAGCGGGTAACTCAACACGTATTACGTGAGTGCGTGAGATAAGCCAATCCTTGCGTGAGAAGTGGTTTCCTTGAAAACTGTTGAACTTTGGTGAACTTTGCCTGCTTTGCCCCAGTCTTCGCCCACAGCTGGGCGATGACTGGTGAGAACCAATCAGCGACTCGCTTTGTTAACGATATGAAAATGGAGAGCCAATGAGAGTACGAGAATAACTTTGAGGGCGGTACCAACCGTGCAAGGTTCTGTTTGGTGCCTTGAAGTAGCCTTACTTGAACACAGTCGGACCGGAAGAAGACGTATTCTTTCAAAAATAAAATCTCAACATTCATCAACTGAGTCAGCAATCCGCACATAATTATTTACTGAATGGACGAATATACTTCCGTCTGGTTTCAATATAAAATATTTACATCAACACCCAACTCTAATTTTTTTTAATAAAATATGAAAAAAGGGAATAATAGACTAAGGATAACTCCAAAAAAATATTTCTTACTAAAGAGCATTCATTCATAAATGGGGAGCGGTTTGCTCAGGACCGCCTCTGGCTTCTCAGGAAAACCAACACGTTTTAATTGTGCTTTATCATATATATTTGTTTATCTTTTTATTTATTCATTTCACCTTTAAGCTTTTTAATTTTGATCTGATTAATTTATTTAATATTTATTTAAATACCTTCATAAATATGTATAGTTGTTTGCTTAAAGCACTAATTTGTAAGCTTAGAAGTCTAGTTACGTAATTTTTTTGTTTTATTTTTATTGCATGTTTTTTATTTTTTTAAATGGAATATAACTGCATATAATTACTTATTTGTGTTATCAAAATATCTTAATTTTGTTTTAATTTTAATTTTCACAATTTCAGCAATTTTATGGAATTATTTTAGTTCTTGTTTTCTTTTTTACTTTTACTATGCTTGATATTCTATCCCCTAAACTGGCTTATCAGTTTTATTTTGAAAACTCCACACGGAAGTGGTGTTACCGCGCGCTCACCTTGATCGTTGATAAGCAGTGAGCGCTGGAAGTTGGAGCGGAGTCTCTGGGGTAAATGTCGGAGTGTTTGTGCGGTCGGACTCTCCCCGGTATTACATAACCTCAGTCCGGCCGAGCAGCTTCTCCTCCCGGTTCTCCCGGTTGTCCTCCCGGTTCTCCTGGTTGTCCTCCCGGTTCTCCCCGGTTGTCCTCCCGGTTCTCCTCCCGGTTCGCTGCCGGACCAAGGTGCGACAGAGATGGGTGAGAAGCAGGAGAAAAGCCCCGAAGGAGTGAAGTACTTCCGGCTGTCAGAGATTGAGGCAGAACTCCTTCAAGTCCACCTGGATCATCATCCACAACAAGGTCTATGACGTCACCAAGTTCCTGGACGAGGTGAGGAAAGTTCTGCTTCTGGTTCCGGTCACCAGCCGGAGCTTTTTCTCGGTTTGCTGCTTCACATCAGATTTGATCAGGATTAAATCTGAGAGCCGCTCAGGGCCGTAGCTCAGGATTCTGGATTTGGGGGCCCGGGGCCCCTATGGCCGCCAGGTATAAACTATTCTAGAATGTAACTTAATGAACCTGAGAAACGTTCTTATTAAATCACTGATTTATGATTATTGGGTATTTATTGTGAGCATCACATTTGTGTCCGACGTGGTGAAGCCATTTAAAAAGGCAGCTTGTTAAAACTACTGAGTCTTTGCTCTCATAAATTCATCATTTCAAATATTTTTCTTTATTCTGTTCATGTTGAGTTTAATTTTTTTCACATATTTTTAGTTTAACTTCATTTTTCACCTCTAAACTAACAAATCACAGTGAAAAAAAAGATTTAACTCTTAAAAATAACAAATACTTCTATTAAATTTAAACAATCTTTATTGAATTTAACTACCTAAAAATGTAATTTGCACATAAACATAAAGTGAATCTTTTTTTTAAATGAAGTACTTCCTGTGCCTGACAGGAAGTCCTTGTGCAAGGTAACAGTGTTGGCGGACCGACTCGGTCCAGTCAGAACCTGATCGACTTTCTTCCATGTCTGAATGTAGAAACACAACTTTACTTTGTTTAGGACACTTGGTTCATCAGCTTATGATAAAATAGTTTTTCGATCGACTCAAACCTCCAATCAGAGGATCATTAAAAACCCAGAAGAATCAAAACAATCCTGAATAAACTGTTAAAATAAGAGCACCTCACTTACTGCAGTCGTCTCCATGGTGACCAGCCGTTGGTCCCGTCAGCCAATAGAATTGCAGGTTTAATTAGCATGAAGCTGATTTGTTCAGGTCCACAGAACCAACCGGAGGTTCAGCAGCTCTTCTGTTGTCTGGTAATGGCTCCGCGTCTCCATGGTAACCGTCTATCAGGTCAGAGGTCATTATGAACTGATATTTGCTCCTGCAGGACCTTTCACTCAGAACCGGCCAGGTTGGACTTTTGTCCCGCTGTCTGTCAGAGGACAGGCTGCACAGAGGTGAGGTGGTGGGCGTGTCCTCCAGGGAGCGTCAGCGCCGGCCAGCCAATCAGGACGCTCGGTCCGGGCTCCTTCAGACCCGGTTCTGCTGAGGCCCGGTTCTGCTGAGACCCAGCTCTGCTGAGGCCCGGTTCTGCTGAGGCCCGGCTCTGCTGAGACCCAGCTCTGCTGAGGCCCGGTTCTGCTGAGGCCCGGTTCTGCTGAGGCCCGGCTCTGCTGAGGCCCGGCTGCTGAGGCCCGGTTCTGCTGAGGCCCGGTTCTGCTGCGGCCCGGCTGTGCTGAGGCCCGGTTCTGCTGAGGCCCGGCTCGTTGTCTCTGCTGCAGGCTGTAAATCATTGGCAGGGCGATCCGGCAGACTGGAGCAGGGACGAGAGATAAGAGAGAAACGCAGAGTCAGCAGAACAGACAGCCAGAACCAGAACCTAGAACCCATCCAGAACCGGACCCTGAAGGTCTTCCAGAGGTTTTTCATCTGGACTTTGTTCTTCTGGTCAAACATTTTATTTGTTTGTCCATTTTGAATCTTTCTGTTGTATCAACACAGTTTGTTCAGTTTGTTAAAGTTATTTATGTCAAACATCCATCAGAACCTCCAGAACCATCAGAACCTCCAGAACCATCAGAACACAGAAACAGTTTGAGGAAAATCATCAGATTATTGTTTGTTTCATGAAATGTTTTATTTGTCTTTGTGCTGATAATTTAAATTATTGTTTATTTTGGAAGAAAATTATTTTACACTGAGGAAGATTATGAAACCTGTTCATCAGTTGCTGCTTTTTAAAAACTTTTACATTTGTTTAAAAAATGTTTTACAGTGTAAAATATTCTGTTCACCAGTAAAAGCACCAAAACCTCAAAGTTTTTAAAAAGTAGCAACTGATGAACAGGTTTCATAATCTTCCTCAGTAATCCGGTTCTCCTCCCGAAACCGGGTCGCATCGGGTCGTTTTGGTGACAAATCTCTGAAACTGACATTTAGAAAATAAAATGTTCGACCTGATGATTATTGGTCACATTTTCAAAAACTAAAACTAAAACTGAGCCGAAAATCAGACGTTCAGGGTTTCCGTGACAACCAGAGCATTCTGGGTCCGGTTCCAGTGACGGTTCTGGTTCTGGCTCTGGTTTTGGTGCCGGTTCCAGTTCCGGTTCCGGATATGGCTCTGGCTCTGGTTCCGGTTCCAGTTCCGGCTCTGGCTCTGGCTCTGGTTCTGGTGCCGGTTCCAGTTCCGGTTCCAGTTCCGGTTCCGGTTCTGGTTCCGGTTCTGGCTCTGGTTCCGGTTCCAGTTCTGGCTCTGGCTCTGGCTCTGGTTCTGGTGCCGGTTCCAGTTCCGGTTCCAGTTCCGGTTCCGGTGACGGTTCTGGTCCGGTTCTGGTTCTGGTTCCGGTTCCAGTTCCAGTTCCGGTTCCGGTGACGGTGTGGTCCGTGTCCGCAGCATCCCGGAGGCGAGGAGGTTCTGAGGGAGCAGGCGGGGAGCAACGCCACTGAGAGCTTCGAGGACGTCGGCCATTCCACCGACGCCAGAGAAATGGCCGCCAGCCTGGTGATCGGAGAGCTGCACCCGGTCAGTGTGGGGTCATCGCCACGGCGACGCCGACATGACACCACACGACACACTGACCTTACTGTCCACCTTGACACGTCTCACTAACTGTCTGTCCACCATGACTCGTCTCACTAACTGTCTGTCCACCATGACTCGTCTCACTAACTGTCTGTCCACCTTGACTCGTCTCACTGTCTGTCCACCATGACTCGTCTCACTAACTGTCTGTCCACCATGACACGTCTCACTAACTGTCTGTCCACCTTGACTCGTCTCACTAACTGTCTGTCCACCTTGACTCGTCTCACTAACTGTCTGTCCACCTTGACTCGTCTCACTAACTGTCTGTCCACCATGACTCGTCTCACTAACTGTCTGTCCACCTTGACTCGTCTCACTAACTGTCTGTCCACCTTGACTCGTCTCACTAACTGTCTGTCCACCTTGACTCGTCTCACTAACTGTCTGTCCACCTTGACTCGTCTCACTAACTGTCTGTCCACCTTGACTCGTCTCACTAACTGTCTGTCCACCATGACTCGTCTCACTAACTGTCTGTCCGTCTGCAGGACGACCGGCACAAGATCCACAAGCCTGTGGTGAGTCTGCAGAGCCAGGGGCATCATGGGAAATGTAGGCCGCAGTGGATGGATGAGGAGCAGGAAACAGGAAGAGGATGATGATGTTTAACTCTGACCTTCATCATCACTTCTCTTCTTTGTGTTGGACAGGAAACGCTGGTTACCACGGCGAAGGAGACGGCAGGTAAACATTTGCACCAGGGGCCTCAAGGGGCTTCTGGGGGCCCTAGGGGCTTCTGGGGGCCCTAGGGGCTTCTGGGGGCCCTAGGGGCTTCTGGGGGCCTCAAGGGGCTTCTGGGGGCCCTAGGGGCTTCTGGGGCCTCAAGGGGCTTCTGGGGGCCTCAAGGGGCTTCTGGGGGCCTCAAGGGGCTTCTGGGGGCCCTAGGGGCAACTGGGGCTTCCGGGGGCCTCCAGGGGCTTCTGGGGGCCCTAGGGGCAACTGGGGGTTCTGGGGCCTCAAGGGGCTTCTGGGGGCCCTAGGGGCTTCTGGGGGCCTCAAGGGTTTCTGGGGGCCCTAGGGGCAACTGGGGTTCTGGGGGCCTCAAGGGGTTTCTGGGGGCCCTAGGGGCAACTGGGGGTTCTGGGGCCTCAAGGGCTTCTGGGGGCCCTAGGGGCAACTGGGGCTTCTGGGGGCCTCAAGGGGTTTCTGGGGCCCTAAGGGCAACTGGGGCTTCTGGGGGCCTCCAGGGGCTTCTGGGGCCCTAGGGGCTTCTGGGGCCTCAAGGGGTTTCTGGGGGCCCTAGGGGCAACTGGGGCTTCTGGGGGCCTCAAGGGGTTTCTGGGGGCCCTAAGGGCAACTGGGGCTTCTGGGGGCCTCCAGGGGCTTCTGGGGGCCCTAGGGGCTTCTGGGGGCCTCAAGGGGTTTCTGGGGGCCCTAGGGGCAACTGGGGCTTCTGGGGGCCTCAAGGGCTTCTGGGGGCCCTAGGGGCAACTGGGGCTTCTGGGGGCCTCAAGGGGCTTCTGGGGGCCCTAGGGGCAACTGGGGCTTCTGGGGGCCTCAAGGGGCTTCTGGGGGCCTCAAGGGGCTTCTGGGGGCCCTAGGGGCAACTGGGGCTTCTGGGGGCCTCAAGGGGCTTCTGGGGGCCCTAGGGGCAACTGGGGGTTCTGGGGGCCTCAAGGGGCTTCTGGGGGCCCTAGGGGCTTCTGGGGCATCAAGGGGCTTCTGGGGGCCTCAAGGGCTTCTGGGGGCCTCAAGGGGCTTCTGGGGGCCCTAGGGGCAACTGGGGCTTCCGGGGGCCTCCAGGGGCTTCTGGGGCCCTAGGGGCAACTGGGGGTTCTGGGGGCCTCAAGGGGCTTCTGGGGGCCCTAGGGCTTCTGGGGGCCTCAAGGGGTTTCTGGGGGCCCTAGGGGCTTCTGGGGGCCTCAAGGGGTTTCTGGGGGCCCTAGGGGCAACTGGGGGTTCTGGGGGCCTCAGGGGTTTCTGGGGGCCCTAGGGGCAACTGGGGGTTCTGGGGCCTCAAGGGGCTTCTGGGGGCCCTAGGGGCTTCTGGGGGCCTCAAGGGGCTTCTGGGGGCCCTAGGGGCAACTGGGGCTTCTGGGGGCCTCAAGGGGCTTCTGGGGGCCCTAGGGGCTACTGGGGCTTCTGGGGGCCTCAAGGGGCTTCTGGGGGCCCTAGGGGCTTCTGGGGGCCTCAAGGGGCTTCTGGGGGCCCTAGGGGCTTCTGGGGGCCTCAAGGGGCTTCTGGGGGCCTCAAGGGGCTTCTGGGGGCCTCAAGGGGCTTCTGGGGGCCCTAGGGGCAACTGGGGCTTCCGGGGGCCTCCAGGGGCTTCTGGGGGCCCTAGGGGCAACTGGGGGTTCTGGGGGCCTCAAGGGGCTTCTGGGGGCCCTAGGGGCTTCTGGGGGCCTCAAGGGGTTTCTGGGGGCCCTAGGGGCAACTGGGGGTTCTGGGGGCCTCAAGGGGTTTCTGGGGGCCCTAGGGGCAACTGGGGGTTCTGGGGGCCTCAAGGGGCTTCTGGGGGCCCTAGGGGCAACTGGGGCTTCTGGGGGCCTCAAGGGGTTTCTGGGGCCCTAAGGGCAACTGGGGCTTCTGGGGGCCTCCAGGGGTTCTGGGGGCCCTAGGGGCTTCTGGGGGCCTCAAGGGGTTTCTGGGGGCCCTAGGGGCAACTGGGGCTTCTGGGGGCCTCAAGGGGTTTCTGGGGGCCCTAAGGGCAACTGGGGCTTCTGGGGCCTCCAGGGGCTTCTGGGGGCCCTAGGGGCTTCTGGGGGCCTCAAGGGGTTTCTGGGGGCCCTAGGGGCAACTGGGGCTTCTGGGGGCCTCAAGGGGCTTCTGGGGGCCCTAGGGCAACTGGGGCTTCTGGGGGCCTCAAGGGGCTTCTGGGGGCCCTAGGGGCAACTGGGGCTTCTGGGGGCCTCAAGGGGCTTCTGGGGGCCCTAGGGGCTTCTGGGGGCCCTAGGGCTTCTGGGGGCCTCAAGGGGTTTCTGGGGCCCTAGGGGCAACTGGGCTTCTGGGGGCCTCAAGGGGTTTCTGGGGGCCCTAAGGGCAACTGGGGCTTCTGGGGGCCTCCAGGGGCTTCTGGGGGCCCTAGGGGCTTCTGGGGGCCTCAAGGGGTTTCTGGGGGCCCAAGGGGGAACTGGGGCTTCTGGGGGCCTCAAGGGGCTTCTGGGGGCCCTAGGGGCAACTGGGGCTTCTGGGGCCTCAAGGGCTTCTGGGGGCCCTAGGGGCAACTGGGGCTTCTGGGGGCCTCAAGGGGCTTCTGGGGCCCTAGGGGCTTCTGGGGGCCTCAAGGGGCTTCTGGGGGCCCTAGGGGCAACTGGGGCTTCTGGGGGCCTCAAGGGGCTTCTGGGGGCCCTAGGGGCTACTGGGGCTTCTGGGGGCCTCAAGGGGCTTCTGGGGGCCCTAGGGGCTTCTGGGGGCCCTAGGGGCAACTGGGGCTTCTGGGGGCCTCAAGGGGCTTCTGGGGGCCCTAGGGCAACTGGGGCTTCTGGGGGCCTCAAGGGGCTTCTGGGGGCCCTAGGGGCAACTGGGGCTTCTGGGGGCCCTAGGGGCAACAGGTGGGCATCGGTTCCCACCAGGGGCCTCCACGGGCTCTAGGGGCAACTGGGGTCTCAGGGGCCACCAGGGGCCACCAGGGGGCCAAAGCCGGTCTCCGTCTCGGTGGTTCAGTGTCTCCTGCTCCTCTCTTGCAGCTGGTGGTCCAATCTGATCATCCCCACTCTGGCAGCCGGCATCGTGACTCTGATGTACCGCATCTACACCACCGACAGCATGTGACATCATCGCCTGAGCGCTGTGATGTCATCATCCGCAGAGCCCATGGCTCCCCTGAGCGTAGAGCGGCGGTTCTAGAGCGGACGACTGGCTGCTGGGACCAGCAGCATCACGTTCCCTCAGTCTGATCTGGGACCCGCGGCTCTATGCTGCATCGCCATGGCAACTCTGAATTAACCAGAATGTAACCAGCCAATCACACGACTCTGTCCCAATGACGTCCCTAATGGCGGCCATTTCCAATCCAGACGTTCAGCAGAACCTCTTGATCTTGCACGGATGTATGATTAGTTTTTATATCTTCAGAACTGAATGTGAACCAGTTTCTGCAGCAGCAGCTACTGTTGGGTCCAGTTAGGTCCAATTGTTTCCAGTTGGGTCCAGTCTGGTTCCAGTTGGGTCCACTTGGGTCCAATTGTTTCCAGTTGGGTCCAGTCTGGTTCCAGCTTGACTCTAGGTGGGGTCCAGTTAGGTCCAATTGGTTCCAGTTTGGTCCAATTGGTTCCAGTTTGGTCCAGTCTGGTTCCAGTTTGGTCCAGTCTGGTTCTGGTGACCTCAGTCTGAAGGGTGGGTGAAACCCGACCCGCGGTGTCCTCACCAGAACCGGCTTCCCGCCTCGTTCTGCACTAAACTCTTGAACTGGACTGATGAAATTCTGACTTCATTTTTATGGAAAAAGTTTCAATCTGGCTGTAAAACCTGAGAATTTGTCCTCCATCCAGCAGGTGGAGCCCTTCAGACTGAACCGTTTTCCAGAACTTCTGGTCGATCCGGACCTGTCCAGGTTCTGTCAGAACCAGAACCCAGTGATGATGTATGAGTGCAGCTGCTTCCTAATGTAATAAAGTGATTGAGACGTTTTGCTTTGGGCTTTTATTCTGAAATCTACTCCAGGTTATTGTGGGATGGCTGGTTCTGGAGCCATCAGATGAATGCAGCTCTGCAGCGCCACCCTGTGGTGTAACAGGAACAATCTGATTATTTTATTTTGTTCAGATTCAAATGAAAGAATTAAACCCAGAACTTAAAACTCAACCAATCAGCTGGAGGTTGGTGGTCTGTTGCCGGAAGATTCCAGAAAGGAGACCGAAGAAACAAAGCTGATGTATTTTATTATTATATTAAACCAGGAACTAACTGGGACGTTTTGATGGACGACTGATGCATAAAGCTGTAAATGTGAGGGATCAAATTGAGGTTTGGGGGCCTTCTTATGGTCCGCTGGGTGATTTTCAGAGGACCCCAACTGGAGTATAATTAAAGTTAATGTAGCTGGAAGTTCAGGTTTTTAAAATAAAATAAAAATAGGTTGAAGAGAAATCGTAATTGTTTCTGAGGTTCATCTTAATCTAGAAGCAGAAACATCAGAAAGTTGAACAGAAAAAGTTTTTAAAATTGAGGCTCAGAAAATAATAAACCCCAGAAAATCAGGAAACTGTCGGTTTATTTTTTATTTTGGGGTCTTTAATAATTTTCTATGTAAATCTGATGATTTAATTTATTTTAATAACATCAACCTGATTTTAGTTTATTATTTTAACAGAAAAATATAATTTGATGTTGGCATTTTATTTAAAATAATTGTTGAGGACTTGTTTTAAACTTCATGACAAAAAGTTTGGATTGAAATGAAGTGTGTCCATCCGTCCATCATCTGCCGTTTATCCAGGTCGGTCACAGGGTCAGCAGGGTCAGTAGGGTCAGCGGGGTCAGCAGCCTAAGGATGGAGGCCCAGGCTTCCCTCTCCCAGCCTCTCCTTCCAGATCCTCCAAGGGAATCCCACGGCGTTCCCAGGCCGGCCGGGATCATGGTCCTGGTCTTCCTCTCCTCCCGGTGGACCTGAACTCCTCACAGGAGCCTCCATCATGACCAGATGCCTCAACTGGATCCTCTCCATGTGGAGGAGCAGCAGCTCTAGTCTGATCCCTCCTGGATGACTGAGCTTCTCTGTCAGGAAACCCAGCTCCCTACGTAGGAAACTCAGCTCCCTACGTAGGAAACCCAGCTCCCTACGGAGGAAACCAGCTCCCTACCCTACGGAGGAAACTCAGCTCCCTACGGAGGAAACTCAGCTCCCTACGGAGGAAACCCAGCTCCCTACGGAGGAAACCCAGCTCCCTACGGAGGAAACTCAGCTCCCTACGGAGGAAACTCAGCTCCCTACGTAGGAAACCCAGCTCCCTACAGAGGAAACCCAGCTCCCTACGGAGGAAACTCCCCTCCTACGGAGGAAACCCAGCTCCCTACGGAGGAAACCCAGCTCCCTACGGAGGAAACTCAGCTCCCTACGGAGGAAACTCAGCTCCCTACGAGGAAACCCAGCTCCCTACAGGAGGAAACCCAGCTCCCTACGGAGGAAACTCAGCTCCCTACGGAGGAAACCCAGCTCCCTACGGAGGAAACCCAGCTCCCTACAGAGGAAACTCAGCTCCCTACAGAGGAAACCCATTTCAGCCGCTTCTATCTGAGATCTGGTTCTGTTGGTCGTGACCCAAAGCTCATGACCGTAGATGAGGGTGGGAACGTAGATTGACCGGTAAATCGAGAGCTTGGCTTTCTGGCTCAGCTCTCTTCACCATGACGGACGGTCCAGTTCACTGCAGACGCTGCTCCAATCCGCCCGTCGATCTCCTGATCCCTTCTTCCCTCAGTCATGAACCCAGAGATACTAGAACTCCTCCACTTGAACTAGGACATCTCCTCCACCCGGAGCAGCTCTCCACCCTTTTCGGGCTCCAGACCGTTACCTCGGACTTGGAGCAACTGATCCTCAGCCCGGCCGCTTCACACTCGGCTGCGACCCGCTCCAGCGAGAGCTGCAGGTCACGACCTGATGGAGCCAATAGAACCACATCACCAAAACGGATCCCCTCAACAGCTCAGCTGCTCTGCAGATTCTGTCCATGAAAGTAATGAACAGAATCGGTGACAAAGGTCAGCCCTGGCTGAGTCCAACCCTCACTGGGAACGAGCCCGACTTATTGCCGGCAATGCAGACCAGACTGCATTGCTGTCAGGTCGTCCAGGGACCTGACAGCCCGTATCAAAGGGCCCGGTACCCCATAGTCCCGGAGAACCCTCCACAGGGCACCCTGAGGGACACGGTCAAACGCCTTCTCCAAGTCCACAAAACACATGTGGACTGGTTTGGGCGAACTCCCACAACCCTTCAGGACTCTGCTGAGGGTGTAGAGCTGGTCCAGTGTTCCACGACCAGAACCAGAACCACACTGCTCTTCCTGAATCCGACGGACCCTCCTCTCCAGGACCCCTGAATAACTCTTGCCAGTGAGGCTTAAGAGTGAGACCCCCCTATAATTGGAGCACACCCTCCAGTCCCCATTTTTAAACAGGGGGACCACCACCCCAGTCTGCCAATCCAGGGGAACTGCCCTCGATGTCCATGCAATACTGCAGAGTCACGTCAACCAAAACAACCCCACAACATCCAAAGCCTTGAGGAACTCTGGCCAGATCTCATCCACCGCCAGTCCCTGCCACTGAGGAGCTTCATAACCACCTCGGCGAAACTGGAGACCCCGACCCAGAGACCCCAGAGACTGGAGACCCCGACCCAGAGACCCCAGACACTGGAGACCCCGACCCAGAGACCCCAGAGACTGGAGACCCCGACCCAGAGACCCCAGAGACCGGAGACCCCGACCCAGAGACCGGAGACCCTGACCCGGAGTCCCCAGAGACCGGAGACCCCGGCCCAGAGACTGGAGACCCCGACCCGGAGACCCCAGAGACCGGAGACCCCGACCCGGAGTCCCCAGAGACCGGAGACCCCGACCCAGAGACTGGAGACCCCGACCCGGAGACCCCAGAGACCGGAGACCCCGACCCGGAGTCCCCAGGCTCAGCTTCCTCACTGGAAGGCATGTTGGTGGATTGAGCAGATCTTCGATGTATTCTGCCCAGCAGCCCACAACGTCCCAAGATGAAAATGTACAAATAAAAAGAGAAATGCTGCCGCCTGGTGGTAGAAAGTGGTAATCAGTAAATCTGGGTTGGAGGTCTTTAAGTTCCTCTGCTTCAGGTCCCCTGGGGGAATAAATACAATGTGACACATGAGTCCAGTGAGAAACTCTCCAAACTCGGAAAGAAAAGGAAACAGCCTGTTATTTAGAAAAGCTGGAGAAAAAACTCAAACTATGAACGTCAGTAAAAATACAAACAGACAAAAATTTTCTCTAGTAAAAGTTAAAGAACCACATTAACATTTTTACTGGAGTAAAAGTAAAAAACTACCGGCTTTTAAAAGTACTTGCTGAATGCATGATGTAATCACTAATAAATATCATTAAGTATTTCATCTTAATGCATAAGATGATCATATTTCATATTTCATCTTAATGCATCAGTAATGTGCTGCTTTAATAAACAATGATGGATGTTTTCATTGTTTACTGTCTGTGACAGATTAGATTTATGATTCTCTGCATCATAATTTCAGGGATGGAAACATTTCGTCTCCTGTCCAAACAGCAGGAACTTCACGCCTTTGCAACTAGTGGCTTTTATTTGAAAGGAATCCAACAGAAAGGTGATGGGGGGACATGCGACCAACGAGCCGCGCCGCATGTTGTAGATTCATTTCCCTCCTTTTTAAAATGTTTTTATAAATTCAGACATTTACTGCAGTAAAGATGTTTGTGGTTTTTAATAACAGATCAGAGCTCAATAAGAAACCAACAAACTGAAAACTGATTTTAATAAAACTGTTTTCATACTTTCATATTTAAACTGTTTTGAGTTTTTCTCAGTTTGTTCTGTTGTCAGAACCGAGCCAGAACCGGACCGGACCTGCTGTTACGCAACTCTGACCTTCAAAATAAAATGTTTTTATTCAGATTTCTGCTCATTTCATAACCCAGAATGAAGCAGAAAAATCAAATGTTTCATTTTGTTTGTTTTTTTTCCTCTGAAGCTGAAATCACAGCTGAATGTCAACATGACGTCATCCTCTTAGGGGCGATGACGTCACCAGTCTGTTTACCGGCGCTGATTGACGCACCTGCTGCACGTGAAGCGTCTCCTTATGTAACAGCAGGAAACAGTGACCTTTGACCTGCTGGTGATTTTAACAATATTTGATACGTTTATTATTCATCATTATTGAAGATGCAATAAAACTTTATGATTCTATGACTAATAATAAAAATCACATTATTATAACATCTGATAATAAAAATCATTAATAATTTATCATCAAAGTTCAGATCAAACTCCTAAATATTTATTTCAGGCAAAAAACAAATAAATATTTTACAAAAGTTAATGAAAAAATATTAAATTCTAAATTTTCTTTAAAACTTGTTTTGACTCCATCAGGTCTTTATAATTCACTGACCCGGTTCTGGTTCTGGTTCTGGTCCACAGTAAATCCTTCTGGAGGCCATGAACGGCCCACAAACCACAGGTTGGAGACCAAACCATCTTATCACATGTGAAACTTATTCAAACTCTGGAGGAGCTGCAGAGAGCCTCAGCTCAGGTGGCTGAACACAGAGGCACGCCACACTTTTCAGATTTCATGTTAATAATTGACTCATAAAATGTCTTTCAATCCTCCTGAGGTGGAGTTGAGGAGTGTGTGTGTGTGTGTCTCTTTGTGTGTGTGTGTGTGTGTGTGTGTGTGTGTGTGTCTCTTTGTGTGTGTGTGTGTGTGTGTGTGTGTGTGTGTCTCTTTGTGTGTGTCTCTTTGTGTGTGTGTGTGTGTGTGTGTGTGTGTGTGTGTGTGTGTGCGTGTGTGTGTGTCTCTTTGTGTGTGTCTCTTTGTGTGTGTGTGTGTGTGTGTGTGTGTGTGTGTGTGTGTGTGTGTGTGTGTGTGTGTGTGTGTGTGTGTGTCACGCGGGGGGCGGGGGTCCGTATAGAAGCGGCGCCACGTCCGCCGCCCCGCAGGTCGCAGCTCATCCATGATCCGCTCAGCTCCGCCGTGCGGGCCGAACCGGGCCGGCCAGCAGAACGGCCTGCGGGAGGAAGAGGAGGAAGAGGAGGATGAGGAGGGAGACCTGGAGGACGAGCTGGACGCGTCGCAGCTGGAGAAGTTCATGCGGGACCGCAGGAGAGCGCGCTCGCTGCCCGCGTATCCCGCCGCGCTGCTGGACGGCGGCAGGAAGCGGGTCAAGTTCGCGGACTCGATGGGTCTGACTCTGGCCCGCATCAAGCACTTCAGCGCGCAGGAGGACCCGCAGATCCCGCCCAAGGTTCTGTCCCGGTACCAGAGCTTCCCCCCGCAGCAGGACCCGCGGACCGGGCCGGCCGCGGCTGCTGGCCTGCTTCCCCGAGCCGCGGGACGCGGAGCGGCGGGTTCGGGAGCTGCGGGTCTGCCTGGAGAGGCTGGCCGTGACCCGGTTCGAGCTGCGGGGCCAGGTGCGGGTCCTGCGGGGCTGCGCCGTCAGGGAGGTCGGGGTTCGGCTCACATACAACGACTGGCTGTCCTACGTGGACGCGCAGGCGGTGCCGGTCCCGGTGCCGGAGCAGCCCGGGTCGGAGTCGGTCCGGTTCGGCTTCAGCGTGTTCGCTCCGCCCTTCATGGACCCGGGCGCCGCGGTCCACTTCGCCGTGTTCCTGCGCAGCGACGACGGAGAGTTCTGGGACAACAACCAGGGCCAGAACTACTCGCTCCGGTACCGGAACCAGAACCAGCCGGGCCGCCCGGACCCCGAGCCGGCCGTAGAGGCCAGTCCGTCCCTCTGAGCGGACCGGAACCAACCGGACCGGTTCTGATCCAAATGTCAGAATGAAACAAAAGCAGGAAAACCTGAAGAATCCCGGAACCGCTAAAGTCCAACAGGTCCAGACTCTGGTCTTTATCGACCATGCTGAAAATCCAAGATGGACGATAATCGATCATTTCATTTGATCGGATTTATTCGGTTTGTTTTATCGGTTTATCAGGTTGAATATCGGCTGATTCCTGAGCAGAAACTAAAACCAGCAGCTTTTAATCTAAACATGGATCCATTATTATCATGACTAGACATTAATATCTGCCAAATATAAACTATTTGACTAGCAGCTCATTTCAATCCATTTAGAGATTTAATGTGTTTTTATCACTTTGAAAATGTTTAGATTCCCTAAATTAATTTCTGGATAAATTCTAAATTTCCTTCACTGTTCTGTAAACACCATGTGATGTAAAGATGAATCTCAGCTGATCAATATTCAACTGAATGATTTTAAAACTTTCATCATATTTAGCTTCATTTAAATGAACTTTTCCAGATAAAATCTAAAGCGCTAATTTAAGAGGTTATAAACTTTTAGTTGACTAAAACTTGATCGATTCAAGAATTTAGATAGTTTATAGTCATGCTCTTATTTTGAAGGGGGAAGACTGTTTATGCAGCAAATGGAAAAGAAAATTTAGCGCTTTAGCATTAGCATCCACTAGCTAGCTAGCATAGCATAGCCTCAGATGGTTATTGTCTAATAATAATAACAATAATAATCTGATGACTCATTTGAATATCTGATCTTTTCTCCTGGTTTTATGTTTTTATGCTTCAGGACGTCAGTCGCTCTGATTCGGACCACTGTGACGTCACGGGTAGGGCCCGCTCTGATTGGTCCCTGCAGGATGTTTTCCTTCTGCTCCAGTTTGGAGCCAAATATTTGGTTTAATTTTGCACACAGAGCTGGAGGGGAGGAGGTCCGGTCCGGTTCGGCTCGGTCCGCCTCGGATTATGAAAAACAAACAAAGTTCTGAGTTCAGATCCAGAGTTCGGTGCCGGTTTGACCCAGATGACCCAAACAGCAGAACATCGCCTCCTGCTGGTTTTCTTTATAATTATTTCCTCACATAAAGAGGAAAAAGTTCTGATTGGACCCAGTTCCAGTCCGAAGTGGGTCCAATGAGGTAATCAATGATGAAACGTCCAGTCGGGTCCGGATGGTCCAGAACCACGGCTCGGGTTTTATCGGGTCGCTGCTGGGATCCATAGAATCTTTATAAAATGATTCTGATCAGAAATAATGTGACTGAAATTATTTTAAAGCTTTTTATAAAATTATAAACAAAATGATATGAAAATAAACGGAATTAAAGATTTTTTATTGTTTTCTTTATATTTAATAAAGTTTTGGAGACTTTGAATCATCAGTTTTAGTCAAATATATTTACACAGATTCTACTGGAAACAGTTTTTATTTCAGTTTAGTTTTTAAACATTTATTTCAGTCTGAAATCATGAACATGACTTCTGATCAGAGTTTAAACTCCAGTAAACTCTGATAGCTTGTTGATAATCCCTCAGCACCACAGATCCTCCGCCATGCCTGAAGCGTCACTCAGCTGCATATTTTTCATGTTTCTCAGATTCTGCTGCTGAAATATCATCTGATCAGAACTGAGCTGAGTTACAGACCCAGCTGGAATTACGTTTGTGATAGTAGGACAGGAAATGGAGACGGTTCTGGATGGGAGACCTGAGAACCTTCAGCCAGGAGTTTTTTCTCCTCCTGAAATTCATGTTCATATTCATATTCATGTTTGAGGGAAGCAGAAGCTGAAATTTCCTGCAGGTCACCGAGACGCCGGAGGAGGAACCTGATGAAGCTCGTCGGGTTTCTGCAGCACAGAGGATGAGGACAGAGCCGGGTCGTGTTTACAGCCCGGCTGTCCGTCCAGCTGTCTTCACGCTCAGACCAAAGTCCAGAGGCGCCTCATGTTGGTCAACCTGACCTCCAACGTTGGTCAACAAACGCCGCCCGCGTCTCTCTGCCTGAATCGATGTTCTAGAAATAAACCAGCTGCTGTTTTGGTTCCTTTAGACTGAAATAAAACGTTGATTCATTCCAGATCTTATCGGATCCTGAAGAAGAATTAAAGTCTGAAGAAACTTTCATAATGGATTTTATTTCATAGATGATAAAAGATTCATTCTGTCCTCGTTTAGAAACTTTCTCTTTAGTCAAAAAACCTGGAGCCATTTCTGCTGCTAGCGCTACGCTAGCATGTTAGCTTAGGTTGTACTTACCCAGAATGCCCTGCGCTGTAGTCCACTTCCTGCTTCTCCCACCACCATCACCACTTCAGGCTCATCGTCGCTCCAGTTGGTGCCGAAGATCCAGATCCACTGACATCATCATCACTGGAACCAATCATCATGCAGTTCTGGTGTCTGGATGGTTTCTGTTATTAAAGCTTGATTCAAACATAAATGGAAACATTTTATGAACATCCAACATGAATCTGAAGAAAAGCAGATTCACTGTCATGATGTTTCAGCACAGAGTGATGCATCATGGGAAGCATATTGATCAAAAGTTGGATCAATAAGGAGTGAAAACCGTCAACAGACCTGCAGGCCCATCAGAAGTGGGTCAGAACCGGGTCTAAAGTCTGTGCTGTTCTGAGCATGTGCAGAAGGTCCAGCAGCTGTTGAGCAACAAGATCTGAGTTTGAACCAACAAACTGATCTAAGAATAGCAGCAGGAGCCCCCAGGGGTCACTCACCTGCTGCACCTGCTCCACCTGCTCCACCCAACACCTGGGCGCCTGCCAGCTGCAGGAGAAGAAACCAGCAGCACCGCCTGGTGGTCACTACTGGAAGCGTCACATTCATCTGGATTCCTCGCTTAAAACTTTCTCAATGAAGTTTAAGACAAAACAAGAGAAGTGAGCAGAGGAAACAGACTTCAAAATAAGAGCACAAACAGAAACAGCTGACTGACTATATGAGTTGATAAAACTTCAACATGTTAATTCAACTCAAGTTTATGAAACAGCCTCGTAAATTAGAGAATTTATCCAGAAAAATTAACTCAGGTGAAGCTCAATGTTTTCAAAGTTAGCTGAGCACAAAATAAACATTAGCTTCACTACTAGCACATTAGCAACCGTGTGCATGCTAAGAGGAGATCTGGTCCCCAGGTGTCCCTGAATGCATCACAGAGGAGTTTGGTCCTCAGGTGTAACTAAATGCATCACAGAGGAGTTCTGGTCCCCAGGTGTCCCTGAATGCATCACAGAGTTCTGGTCCTCAGGTGTCCCTGAATGCATCACAGAGGAGTTCTGGTCCTCAGGTGTCCCTGAATGCATCACAGAGGAGTTCTGGTCCCCAGGTGTCCCTGAATGCATCACAGAAGAGTTCTGGTTTCCAGGTGTCCCTGAATGCATCACAGAAGAGTTCTGGTTTCCAGGTGTCCCTGAATGCATCACAGAGGAGATCTGGTCCCCAGGTGTCCCTGAATGCATCACTGAGGAGTTCTGGTCCCCAGGTGTCCCTGAATGCATCACAGAGGAGTTCTGGTCCCCAGGTGTCCCTGAATGCATCACAGAGGAGATCTGGTCCCCAGGTGTCCCTGAATGCATCACAGAGGAGTTCTGGTCCCCAGGTGTCCCTGAATGCATCACAGAGGGAAACAGTTGGAGCTGCCCGTTTTTTCTCGGTACCAGTTTAGATCCAGTCTGTGCTGGTTGGACTGATGAAGATGAATTCTTCCGTCCATCCTTCGGGAAACCGGACCGACCCGGTTCCCTTCATGGCTTCAGGCTTTTGGACTCAGAACTGCCAACATTAAAAAAGATTAAAACTGAGAAAATAAAAAATAAATGACATAAAAACGAGTCAGAAAAGAAACGAAACCGAATAAAGAAACAGAAACTAGAAATGTTATTGGAGAAACTTTTAATTTGACGTCTGAAGCAGGAAGAAGCTGAGATCATCTGATCATCGATCAGAAATGGACATATCGATCTGCATGAACCGTTGCCATGGTGACTCCTCTGGGGGCGGGGCTTAGGACAGAGGGGGAGGAGCCTGCAGATCTGATTCATTTTACACTAAAAATTAAGCATTTTAATCAAATTTAGAGATGAAACTTGAAGTCCTCACTGTAAAAACAAACAGCTTGTCGTCACAGAGGAGAACGGCTGACAGTTGACCGTCCGTCTTCCTCGTCTCCTGCAGGACGGTTTCACATGTTCCCATCCAGCAGCTCTGACGTTTCATGTTTCAGGAAAAACAAACTAAAGTTTGAGTTTTTCCTGCAGAGGAAACATGAGAAACATCAGGCAGAAAAACATCCAGCTTCACTCCGGCCTACATCTCCCACAATGCATTTCACAGGCCGGGTCGAAGCGTCACGCCGGGTCGAAGCGTCACGGCGCGTCCACCACTGTCCGCTGAGCCTCGTACATTTTCCCGATGGACACCTGGACAGAGACACGAGGGACAAGTCAGCCACAGGCTGGAAAACTGCAGGAAAATCACAATTTGGATGGAAAAACAAGGAATTTAGCTAAATAAATAAGACTCAAGGAAATTATTTTAAATGAAATCATTTAAAGGGACCAAGGATGATTTTTTCCAATAGTTTGACATAAAAGTGATGGAGTTTCACATAAAAAGTAAAATAAACCGTACAGCTTGACCTCTACTTGTTGATAAAATATCACATGTTAACGTTTGGCTGGTTCATATCGGAAATATATTCAATTTATTAGAGTGACATTGTAATATAACTAATTTAATTTTCATAAATATAAAAACGTTTTAAATATGATTTAAATACAAATGTTTCTAAAAAATCTGAATGAAAAATAAACTGAAAATACTTTAAATTGTTGCTGATTTATAAGATTGAAAATCATATTTAATTAATGTCAAAGAAATATTTTCTAATTTACTGAATGTCAAAAATTAGAAACAGAAATGAACATTTAAGTGTTTCAATGTTTCCTCTGATCAGCAGCGAGGCGCCCGGTTCCTCCAGCAGGCGGCGCTGCAGAGAGGCTGAGTGACGTCAACAGGCTGAACTCTGATGTCAAACAGGAGGAACGATGAGGAGGACAGCTGTGTGTGTGTGTGTGTGTGTGTGGCTGGGTGTGTGTGTGTGTATGTGTGTGTGTGTGTGTGTGTATATGTGTGTGTGTGTGTGAGCTCTCAGACGGCTCCGGCGGGTCGGAGCTCCAGAGAAAAGATTTTTACTTGCAAACAGAAAATGATGAAATGATCAGCTGTGACCTTCTGACCTCATGTCTGTTTGCGTTGACCCAGTGACCTCTGACCTCATTCAGACAGAGTCTCTGAGGTCTGGAGACGAACGTTGATCTGTCACTGTGACAATAACTGGATGGTGATTCTGTCCCTCTGGTGTCAAATACTGCAGAATCAGACTGAGAAACATCTTGGACTCGAGCAGAAGGCGGAGGTTCACTGAGGTCAAAGGTCATCACCAGATTACATCAGCAGAGGGTCTGAATGAGGCCTTTAGGTTTCGGTGCTGAGTTCATCAATCTGAGCTGGATGGAGACGGAACCACAACAACCTGCCAGAGTGACGGCAGGATCTTTAAGAGTGTAGAAGTTGTTTACCGAAGGAAGAAAACTCAGTTTGGATCCGGCTTTTGGACCGGAACCAGAGTCTGTCCGGGTGGAACCAGAGTCTGTCCGGGTTTCTGACCGGAACCAGAAAATCTCCGGGTTTCGGACCGGAACCAGAGCCTGTCCGGGTTTCCTGCTCCTTGGTGTGTGTGGTTGTTCCGCTGCAGTGCCAGCAGGGGGCAGCGTCTCTCCATGCTGCTGCTCCTCTCTCGGCTCCGGCTCATTAATTATTCTGCCGTCAGCCATTCACCCCCCACATGAATCCCCTCTTTCACTTTCTGTCTCTCGCCGTGGAGCCCCCCCGCCGTGTGTGTGACCTCCTGATTGGCTGCGGCGCGGTGTAGTGGGGAGGGCGGGGGGCGGCCAATGGGCGGCCGGGAGGCTCGGCTCTCATGTAAATTGTTGCGGCTGTGTCTCGTAACAAAGGGAAGGCCTCGCTCCGCTCCTCTCCTCCCCACATTTGTTTCTCTCTCTGCATCACTTCATCTTTTACTGGAGCTGCTGTCAGTTTCACCTCATGAATATCAACGCCGAGTTGTGAAGATGGAACCGCCGCGCCGCGTTTGGAGGATTCAGGGAGGCTCACACTGCAGCCACCGCTTGACATTCAATTAAAGCTGCTGTGTGCAGATTTACAATGTTTCCTCAGAGCAGAAACCAGAACCGGACAGGGGCGGTTCTGCTCACCGGGCCGCTGGCTGGCGCAGAGCCGGGCGCCGGGCCGGGCCAGGCACCGGGCCCGCCTCCTGGCAGACGGTTCTGGAAAGCCGGCGTGTTCTGCTGCTGTCGCCGTCTCAAGCTAAGCCTCACAGATCCTGCAGGATTCTCCAACAAATCCAGTTTGTGCCTGCAGGAAGCAGAGCTGCAGCCGGTTCAGAACCCAACGGGTCCCTCAGAGGAGCCCGACCCGTAACCCCACGCTACAAACCAACAGAACCAGAAGTTATGAACTCAAAGAAAATGTTTCTACCACTGCAGCTATAGATCGGCCAAAGCAGATATCAATCAGATCGAAAAACACAAATCAGGACGTTTAAAATCTCAGGAAGTTGAAGTCACTACAGAGCGACTTAAATTCAATGAATCTGAGAACTAAACTGCTTAATCCCAGGAGATTAGAAGGATTTTATGCAGGAAAGTTTAAAAGAACAGAGATTAGAGGCTTAACCTCAAATTATTATCAGCTAATAAAGAGAAAAGGAGTAAAAAACCCTGAAGAACTCGATTAAAGCCACGATAAAAACCCAGTCAGAGTCGATCCAAAGGGAAACAAAGACATGAGTCTGACCTCTGACCTCTGAAAAGGAAACATCGAACATCTAATCCATGTCTTACTGGTTTTCATTGGTGGAAACCACTAATGAAAAAGCCTTCTGTGCTAACGCTAGAGCCATAACCACACATATTAGCCCCATCAACGCTAAATGCTACATCAACATGCTACTTAGCTAGAGCTAATGCTAAAGTACTGCATCAACATGCTGCATAGTAGAAGCTAATGCTAAAGCGCTACATCAACATGCTACATAGTAGAAGCTAATGCTAAAGCTCTACATCAACACACTACATACTAGAAGCTAAAGCTAAAGCGCTACATCAACATGCTACATAGTAGAAGCTAATGCCAAAGCTCTACATCAACATGCTACATAGTAGAAGCTATTGCTAAAGCTCTACATCAACACACTACATACTAGAAGCTAAAGCTAAAGCGCTACATCAACATGCTACATAGTAGAAGCTAATGCTAAAGCTCTACATCAACATGCTACATAGTAGAAGCTATTGCTAACGCTACATCAACATGTTACTTAGCTAAAGCTACCACCACAGCCTGCACCATGTGTCAGAGGCCTAGTATGTCTCCCTCTACAGGATTAAGGTTGTCACTACTCGCCCTCCTGAGCGCTTTGCGCTACAGGAAGTGATTCTTTGGACCAGATTTTCACTCATGGTTTCAGTTCAAATTCAATCGATAATCAAACCTTCAACACAGACGTTGAGCTTCATTCAACTGAACTTTCATAAAATCTCAAACTATTGCTTTACCGTTTATCTCGAAAAGTTCATTTAGGGGAAGCTAAGTGCGCTAACTTAACTGAAATTAGCTGTACTATTAGCCACTGCTGCTAGTTTGAGGGGTTAGATGTGGTTTCAGGTGAAATTTAGACTAAATTTACCTGTAACCTTTAAATGCAGGTGAACTATAAGAACATTTCTTAAAAAAATCCTCTGAGAGCCCGACTTCCTCAGAGACAGAACCAGACGATGCGTTTTGACTCGAGCTCCTCTGAACGTCACGGCATCCATCCGCTCAGCTGCAGAAACCAGAACCAGTCGTGACCTTCAGTCCTCCCACCAGGCAGGAGGTGTGAGATTAACATCGCACCGCCGCTCTCAGGTGGGCTCAGGAGACACGGATCCTCAACGCAACACCCGGCCGTCTGACAGCCGCTCGCCGCAGAGCAGGCTCTGTGGATTTACCCTGGAAAAAGGCTCAAACGCCACAACCGCACCGGGCGGAGCCGCGATCTGGACAGTAATCAGCTGAGCTCCCAGCATGCATTTCATCTGAGAGGAGATCAGAGGGGTGGAAACACCGATGCAATTAGCTCAAACGTTTATTCATTCAGCGATTTAGTGGGTTTAAACTGAAATGTTTCAAATTAAAGGTTGGATGTTTCTGCAGTAAAACCATCGATTTTAATTTTACCTCGTCTCTACTGTCACAATAAATGTTACTGATGATAAACTGTCACGATTAACAATAATGTTGTTGTTTTAACAACATTTTTATAAAAAGCAAGAACTCCAAGACCAATTTAAATGCTAATAAACATTTAAAACTGGAAGACATTTTAAATATCCAAACAATAAAATGTATCATGAAGTTTCTAAACTGTCCATCAAAAGTTATGAAGATAAATCATGTAAGGGGAATTATTGGCAGGTTTTAATCATCATGTGATTAACTGATGGTTAAACATGGCGGACGCATGGTGACCCGGGTTTGGTCCAACAGGATGTGATGTCAGCAGAGCTCCACCAGCACAGGAAACGGAAAGACAGCGACCGCAGGACGAGAAGCTTCATCGCCAGAGGAAGAGGAGGAGCCTCTCCGACTGAAGGAATGAAAACCTTCATCAGTCTGTGGGCCTGCGGTGGACACCCGGACGTGTCGGCCATCTTGGCCACGCGGTGGACACCCGGACCTGTCGGCCATCTTGGCCACGCGGTGGACACCCGGACATGTCGGCCATCTTGGCCACGCGGTGGACACCCGGACACGTCGGCCATCTTGGCCACGCGGTGGACACCTGGACATGTCGGCCATCTTGGGCCTGCGGTGGACACCCGGACGTGTCGGCCATCTTGGGCCTGCAGCCGCCCGTTTCTTGCTAATAATGAAACTTCCTGTGTTTTCCAAAGTGCCAGAGTTTCTGCTCTCCTCATAAATGATTCATGAACGTTAAAAGCGCTTCGGGTCCCGTTTGAAAAGCGGCGCCTTCCTCTGTATCTGTTTCTCCGTTTGACATTTACAGTCTCCTCTTCCTTTTTCCAATTCTTTTCTTTTTTATTGCTTTTCATAAAGTTGTGGAGGAGAGAACATTTAGCCGGTGGAGGCAGAGCAGCTCCACATTAAACAGCCAGCCACCACACATCACTCATGCTTTACTCTTCACATCTAAACTCTCAGCTTTTATGAAGCAAAAATCTTTTTGTTGGACTTTATGTCAGAAATCCATCATATCTGCTGCTGGTATCTGCTCTGCATCAGCGCCTTGGGGAAATGTTTCACTGTTAAGGTGCTAAAACCGAATGTTTCCTGT